GATTGGAGAGGAGGACTATGAAGGAAAATGGGATTAACCCAGAGTTTGTGGTTGGAATCCCAATCCAGTTTTGGGATTGGAGAGGAGGAACATGAGGGAAAATGGGATTTATCCAGAGTTTGTGGCTGGAATCCCGACCCAGTCTTGGGAGAGGAGGAGCAGTGGCACTAATTGATCCTGGCAATCCCAGGGAGCTTTGGGCTGGGTTTTTGGGAATGTTCCCTCACAGAAAGGGTTCTCCAGCCCTGGCACGGCAGCGAGTGCCCACCCCTGATAAAATGCCCAATTTACACCCAAATCTCTGGGCTGTGGGGTCACCTGCAGAGCCCCAAGGCTGGGAGGGGCGGGTTTGGACTGGGATGTGCTTTAGGGCCTGTGGGGTTCTCCCTGCTGCAGCAAAGCAGGTTTTTCACGTAGGAAAAGCTGATTTTTATTTGCAAATCTTATATTTGGAGAGGAGGAATGCAAGGGAAAATGGGATTTATCCAGAGTCAATGGGGTCTCAACCTGTTTTTGGGATTGGAGAGGAGGACTATGAAGGAAAATGGGATTAACCCAGAGTTTGTGGCGGAATCGCAACCCAGTTTTGGGATTGGAGAGGAGGAATATGAGGGAAAATGGGATTTATCCAGAGATTGTGGCAGGATTCCCGACCCAGTTTTGGGATTGGAGAGGAGGAACATGAGGGAAAATGGGATTTATCCAGAGTTTGTGGCTGGAATCCCGACCCAGTCTTGGGAGAGGAGGAGCAGTGGCACTAATTGATCCTGGCAATCCCAGGGAGCTTTGGGCTGGGTTTTTGGGAATGTTCCCTCACAGAAAGGGTTCTCCAGCCCTGGCACGGCAGCGAGTGCCCACCCCTGATAAAATGCCCAATTTACACCCAAATCTCCGGGCGCGGGGTGACCTGCAGAGCCCCAAGGCTGGGAGGGGCGGGGTTGGACTGGGATGTGCTTTAGGGCCTGTGGGGTTCTCCCTGCTGCAGCAAAGCAGGTTTTTCACGTAGGAAAAGCTGATTTTTATTTGCAAATCTTATATTTCTGTCATTTTTCGAGGTTTTGTGCTTCACTCGAATTGGCTGTAATTCTTTTGCCATTTATTCTGTTGGTTACAAGGTGCTTGTGTGTGCATGTGCCAGACTTCTTTTTATAGGTTTTTACATTATTTTTGGTGGATTCTTATGGGTTAGAGGTACTGTTTATTATTATTATTGTTTGTTATTTTGTTATGACAGGTGTAACTTATTTTTCTTGGCAATAATAGGTTGCTATGTAAACTCATTCTTCAGATTTTTTCCTTATGGGAATTAACTAACTGCACTTAGCTGAAGCAGCAGGCCTCACTCAACCCCAATTTTATATTTTTCTTTTATACTATTTTTATTTGGATGTAGCATTAAGCTGCCTTAGAATTGAATTCACTGCGTGACTTTTCCCTGCTATGTAAACTCATTCTTTAGATTTTTTCTTATGGGAATGAACTAACTGCACTTAGCTGAAGCAGCAGGCCTCACTCAACCCCAATTTTATATTTTTCTTTTATACTATTTTTATTTGGATGTAGCATTAACCTGCCTTAGAATTGAATTCACTGCGTGACTTTTCCCTCTGGGAGTACCTGAGGATTTCAGGAGCTTTGTTTTGCTGTGCTGAGCACAGGCAGGGTTGTTCTCTCCTGGCTTTCCCACATTTCTGGGCTCTCCCAAGGAATTTGGGAGGAATTTGGAGGTTTGAGTGTCCTGGGCAAAGCAAAGGACAAGAAAATTAAATTTTAAGGCAGGGTGATGTTACCTACAAAAAATTCATTATTTTTAGACAAAATTTATTTACATTTATATATATATATAAAAAATATATGTTTATATATATAGTTATATTATCATACAATTATATATTTATAATTTATTTACATGAAATACCTACAAAAGTAATATAAAAGAAAGGCCTTATGAAATTGTGGCTTAGCTAAGTGCAGTTAGTTAATTCCCATAAGAAAGAATCTAAAGAATGAGAATCAGTTTACATAACAACCTATTATTGCCAAGAAAAATAAGTTACACCTGTCATAACAAAAGATCCATCCCATAAGAATCCACAAAAAATAATGTCAACACCTATAAAGAAGTCTTACACATTCACACATGAGCACCTTGTAACCAATAGGATAAATGGCAAAAAATTACAGCCAATTTGAGTCAAACACAGCCTTTAAAAACAATACCAATGTAAGTTTTATAAATGAAAATCGGCTTTTCCTACATGAAAAAAATGTTTTGAGGCTGCTCAAATCCAGCTCTGAAAACCCCCCAGACCCAAACCAAAGGAAAATCCATCCTAAGGGTGATTATTTCCTTTTTTTCCCTCCTCTCCTTCTTTCCCTGCTCCTGAGGCTGTCACAGATAAATTTTATCTTCGTGCACAGATGAAGCAGAATTCATTTCAAGCAGTTTTTTACTACTTTAATCATCACAAAGAGCATCCACGCTGTGTTTCCTCTTGGAGAGCTGTTTTCCTCATGAGTTCCATGCTCCCAAGTGAATAATTTTCCCTCCAGGGACCTACCTCAATATTTAAAACTTAAATTTAAATTTTAAAAAATCAGTGTTTGGGGGTCCAGAGGCAACCTGGGGGTGGAGGGTGAAGGGCTGGGTTTGGGGGAACAGGGTTGGTTTGCTCCTAGAATTCAGTTTTTGCTGCAGAAAATGATGTTGGTCCTTAAGAATAAAGCAGAAAATTTCGGAGTTGTAAAACAGAGTTTTAAAATGGTGAAATTCTTATGGATAGCAGGGCAAAAGGGGTTTGGGGGTGGCTGGTGCTGGGTTTGGAGAGGATTTTGTGGCTGAGGAGAGACCAGCCAGCAGCAGCTTCAGCCTGGTCTGTTCTGGCAGCCCTGGCACCTCCAGCCCAGAGAGTTCCCTGGAATTCCTGTGGAATTCCCGAGGTTTTTTGTTACTTTTTGTAAGGCTGAGTCTTGCCAGGACAGGTTTTGGGGAGCTTCAGCCCTGAGAGCTCCTGGCAGGGGACTGGAGGGGCAGATCCCAACCTCAGCCCAGCCCTGCTCCTCGGGATGGGGAATTCCCTGCTCCAGGGGCTCGGGAGCTGGGAAATGCCACCCTGGGATTGTCCCCCAGCCGTGTCCCTCTGTGGGGCACCCACTGGGGTTGTGGGGTTTGCTCTCAGTCACCGCAGGGCGTTTGTGGGGTTCCTCCCAGCACCCCTCCGCAGGCAGAGCTCCCTTTGCTTCTCCCTTCCCAAAGATTCCTGGTTTTCCCCCTCCCCTGGAGCTTCCCGAGCAGCTGGAGCTGTTACATAACCCAGCTCCCGAGCACGTTCCTGCCACATTTGGGGCTCTGCTCAAGCAGCAGCTCAGCCCCGGGGCCTTCAGCCCCTCTGGTCTGCTTGGGGCTGAAAGGATGGATGAGGGAAAGCACAGGATGGATGTGGGAAAGCAAAGCAGAGGATGGATGTGGGAAAGCAAAGGATGGATGTGGGAAAGCAGAGCAAAAAGGATGGATGTGGGAAAGCGGAGCAGAGGATGGATGTGGGAAAGCAAAGGATGGATTTGGGAAAGCAGAGCAAAGGATGGATTTGGGAAAGCGGAGCAAAAAGGATGGATGTGGGAAAGCACAGGATGGATTTGGGAAAGCGGAGCACAGGATGGATTTGGAAAAGCGGAGCAAAAAGGATGGATGTGGGAAAGCGGAGCCAGGAATGGGGCAGGATGAGCCTGTGGGGCTCAGCTGGCTTTATGGAATGTGGGGATCCCACAGGCTGGAAAAGCCAGGATGGGGAAGATGTCCCTGCCTGTGGGGAGCAGGGTGAGCTCTAAAATCCCCTGCAGCCCAAACCATCCTGGAATTCTGCAAAAAGAGGGAACAGCTTGGAGGAACCCGCTGTGCTCCTTCTGCTCCCCAAGGGCTGTGGTGTGGCTGCTGCTCCTGGGGCTCTGCAATTCCAGGATTCCCCCCTGGCTCTGGAATCCTTGGTGCCAGGCGTGGAGCAGATCAAAACCAGTGCTGAGCACCATCAAACTCGGGTTTAAACTGGGATTTAACAGCCAGGAGGGATCTTCCTCCCTTCAGCAGTGCCCACAAACAGCACGGGAAAGGAGGGAGGCATAAAGACAGAAATATTGGGAATAATAGCTGGGAAATATCGACTGGGAAATATTAACTGAAAACAATATTGACTGCAAAACAAATATTGAGTGGGAAATATTAACTGGGAAATAATGAGTGGGAAAGAAATATTGAGTGGGGAATATTTACTGGGAAATACATACTAGCTGGGAAATAATAACTGCAAAACAAATATTGAGTGGGAAATATTGACTCGGAAACAAATATTAGCTGGAAAATCTTGACTGTGAAACAATTAACTGAAAAATATTAAATGTGAAAAAGAATATGAACTGGGAAATAAATATTAACTGGGAAATATTAACTGTGAAACAATTAACTGGGAAATAATAACTGAAATAAATATTCACTGGGAAATAATAACTGAAATATCGAGTGGGAAATAATAACTGTGGAATGATTAGCTGGAAAATAATATATGTGAAACAAATTTTGAGTGGGAAATAATAACTGGGAAATACTAACTGTGAAATAAATATTAGCTGGGAAATAATAATACAAGGCAAACATTGACTGGGAAATATGAACTGGGAAGTATTGACTGTGAAACAATTAACTGGGAAATAATAACTGTGAAACAACTATTGATGGGAAATAATAACTGTAATAAATATTAACTGGGAAATAAATATTGAGAGTGGAATATTAAGTGGGAAATAACTGGCCCCACACACTGGGAGGGAGTTAATTGGTGTCAAATGAACAAATTAAGAAATGTCCCCACACCCCCTGGCAGCCCCTGATGCTGTGATCCCTTTTTTCACCTCATTGTGGGCTGCAGCCAGGGAGGGGCTGAGGAGCCTGGAGCAGGGTTTGTGGGGGGTGCATTAACAATTCCTTCTGCTCTGTGATCCTTCCCCAGGACTGAAAAAGCGCACCAGGAAGGCCTTTGGCATACGCAAGAAAGAAAAGGACACTGATTCCACGTGAGTGATCAGAGCTGGGAGGCCTGGGTGGGCTCCGAGCAGGAATTTGGGGCATCCCGGGCCCTTGTTGGCTTCGGGTGGAGTTTTATGGCAGACACATTCCAGCTGTTCCCTGCACGTGCAGCAAGTGTGGGGTTTCCTGGGAGCTCTTGGGATTTTTGGGGACGGGTGGAAAAGGACGACTTGGAGTTGGAGCAGATTGCTCTCTGCTCCTTAGAGCTGGTTGGAGATGCAAATTCGATTTACAGAGATGTTTGTGCAGGGTCTGGTGCAGCACAGGGTTTTCACTTCCCAGAAAACATCTGGATTCTTCCCACATCTGCTGGGGGGTGCTGTGTGTGAGGGCTGAGCCTGGGCTGGAGCCCCAGGAGAGGCTGGGGGAGCTGGGAAGGGGCTGGAGAATCCCTGAGGAGCTGGGAAGGGGCTGCAGAATCCCTGAGGGAGCTGGGAAGGGGCTGGAGAATCCCTGAGGAGCTGGGAAGGGGCTGCAGAATCCCTGAGGGAGCTGGGAAGGGGCTGGAGAATCCCTGAGGAGCTGGGAAGGGGCTGCAGAATCCCTGAGGGAGCTGGGAAGGGGCTGGAGAATCCCTGAGGAGCTGGGAAGGGGCTGAGCCTGGAGCAAAGGAGGCTCAGGGGCCCTTGTGGCTCTGCACAGCTCCTGCCAGGAGGGGACAGCCGGGGGGGTCGGGCTGTGCTCCAGGAACAGGGACAGGAGCAGAGGGAACGGCCCCAGGCTGGGCCAGGGGGAATTTAGATTGGATATTTGGAAAATGTCTTCACAGAAAGGGTTCTCCAGCCTGGCACAGCTGCCCAGGAGTCCCCATCCCTGGAGGGGTTTAAAATCCCTGTGGATGTGGCACCTGGGGGTGTGAGGTGGCCTTGGCAGTGCTGGCAGTGGTTGGGTTTGATGATCTCAGAGGGGTTTTCCAGCCCCAACAATTCCATGATTCTCAGCCACCACCACTGCTGTGGCTTTGGGGTGGATGTCCCCAAGTGCTGTGGCCGAGGAGCCTGTGCCAGCAGGTCCTGGGGACAGGCAGCAGGGAGTCCCTGGGGACAGCAGGGGACAGGGGACAGGCAGCAGGGAGTCCCCTCCTGCAGCTCTGCTCGGGTGTTCCATGGTCAGCAGAAACTCCGAGGTTTTTCCTTTTGCTCCCTTTGGATTCATTCCCTGAGCTGTTTTGTGTCCTGGTGGGAGCTGCTTGGAGGGACACAGGCCTGGCCAGGTGGCCCTGGTGGCACTGGCATCTCTGCCGGGCTGTTCCCGCTGCCAAGAGCAGGGGGCACACGGAGCACATCCCAGAGAGGGACGTGCAGCCCCGAGGTGCCATCCTGCTGTCCCCAGGGACGGTGGCATCCCCGCAGCGAGCCGTGGGACAGCCGGGTGCGAGTTCAGTTCATCCATCGTTTATCCCGGCGGGCGGGGGTGAGGCTCCTCTGCACCTCCTCTCCCTGGAAACCCGCTGGAGCCGGGGCTGGGCTGCCCATCCAGAGCTGAGATCCATCCCGGTATCCCATTATCCCATCCCGCCGCTCCCGGCGGGCCCGGGAGGGATCCCGGAGCTGGGGGGGCGCGGAGAGGCCGGCCCGAGGACGCTGCAATTAGCAGCAGCGGTGATTAGCACGGCGGGGTCACGGCGCGGGCACGGCCCCAGGGGCTTTGGGCGCTCTCCAGATCCCCGCCGGGAGAGGAGAGGGGATGGAGCCGGGAGAGGAGAGAGGGGATGGAGCCGGGAGAGGAGAGAGGGGATGGAGCCGGGAGAGGAGAGGGGATGGAGCCGGGAGAGAAAGAAGAGAGGGATGGAGAAGGAGAGAAGAGGGGATGGAGCCGGGAGAGGAGGCAGGGATGGAGAGGCAGAGAAGGCAGGGATGGAACCCGGAGAGAAAGGAGGGGATTGAAAGGGAGAGAAGAAGGGATGGAACAGGGAGAGGAGGGAGGGATGGAGCTGGGAGAGAAGGGGAGGGGATGGAGCGGGGCAGAAGGGAGGGATGGTGGCATCTGCCACCCCCGGCCACCACCCTCCCACGACACACCTCCAGGGGTCCCAGGAGCCGCTGATGGGTCTGGAACGGTTCTGCTGCAGCTGCAGGGAGGGTCCCCAAATTCCAACCGGGATGGGAGCAGGAGGTGACACCCCTGTGCTGGGGATCATGCAGTGAGGGGGAAACATAACAGCAGAAGGGATTTTCGCCACTTCCAGAGGATTTCAGGGCCTCTTGTGCAAAGGGATGGAGCCTAAATAGGACTGATAGGACACAGCAGGGATTAGGGGGAGAACTTTCCGGGCTGCCGCTATTCCCTGTGAGCAGGGAGCTCCCAGCAGGGATCCCGCGATCCCGAGGCGGGTGTGAGCTGGTGGCACCTCCCTGGCGGTGCAGGAAACCCGGGATGTGCGGGAGGCGGAGGAGCCCGTGTGGATCCCATGGGCACCTGCATTCCCCAAATCCCGGCAGCTCTGCAGAGCTGCCGGGAGCCAGCCCCGATCCCAAATCCCCTCGGCAGCTGGGGATTGGGTCCCTGGGGAGCCTCAGCAGAGAAGTGTCTGTCCTCCTGGTGGAATGAAAACTGGGAATTCCTCCAGATGGGATTCCTGTCCCCTGCAAGGGATGGGCACGGGGCAGGGATGTGGGATGGTGCAGGAGCCAGCTGGGACGGTGCCAGCCCCAGCACTTTCTTTCCTGATAAACCTCAAATTCATCAGCTGATAACACGAGGGGAAAAATTCCGTGACCTTGTGTGGGTTCCACAAGGAGCAGGTAACTCAGATGTGCTGATGATGTCCTAAACTCCAGGTTTAGCTGCCTTTAATTTGTTTTAAAATTTAAAAATGAATTTCCACGAGTTAATTTGATGAGGGCTGGGCACTAACACAGCTCCTTTTTCTGTTCTTTCCAGAGGGTCACCAGACAGGGATGGCATCGTGAGTATAGCCCAGTGCCACCTCCCCTTCCACCACCATCAGCATCTGTGAGCAGTTTTCTGTTTAATATAGAAAATAAATGTAAAAATCCGTGTAAAAAAAGGCAAATTCCAGGTTTCCTACAAAAATAGCAACAGAGGGAGACCTGAGGAGCGCCAGGGGCAGAGGGAGCAGGTGTCCTGCTAAGCCCAGCTCCTCATCCTCATTTCCAGCCCTGCTAATTGGCTTGGGCCAGATTTGCTGCCCGAGGAGTTCATTGCCAGAGCAGCTGTTTCCAACCTCTATTTTTATTTTCTATATTAACCTGAAAACAAGGAGATGTTTGTGGTTTGTTGTGGTTTTTTTGGTGTTTTTTTTTTTTTCTTTTAATTGTTGCTGCTTTTATTCCTGGTGTTAGACTGAAGTGTCCCTGCTGGGTAGGAGATGGGCCCTGCCTCCTTCAGTGTTTGATATAAAAATTATTCTGGGTTCAGACTGGGCTTTACTTCTTCAGCAAATCCAGATTTTAGAATTTCACCTCAAAATAAAGACGAGCCCCTTGTGAGGCTCAGCAGGGAGAACAGTGCTGGGGTATCTTTAAAAAGATAAAAATTTAGGGGCCAAACTGCTCCTTGCAAGAAATTGTTTTCGTTTTCCCCCCAATCTGACCCAAAATCCTTGGCTTTGGGCACTCCTTGTGTTTTTAAGCTGCTTGCTAGGAAATAGAGATGAAAGTAAAGGTTGTGCCTTCAGCAGGGCTCTATTCAGCAGAGATAAATCAATAAATAGCAGGTTTAGGTGAGATAAATCAATAAATACCAGGTTTAGGCTGGATAAATCAATAAAGACCTGGTTTAGGTTGGGTAAATTAACAAATTGCAGGTTTAGGTTGGACATCAGGAGGAATTTCTCCACAGAAAGGGTGTTCAGGGAGGTTTGGAGTCCCCATCCCTGGGGGTGTCCACACCTGGATGTGGCACTTGGTGACAAGGTGGGGATGGGGCACGGCTTGGGCTGGATGATCCTGGAGGTTTTTGCCAATTTTAGCTCTGTGAATATCCAGGGAACATCCCCAGGCTGTTCCCTCTTCCAGCAGAAATCCCATGGGCAGCCTTTCCTCACCAGGTGTGGCCAGAGGGACCTCAGCTGTCCTCTCCAAGGATGCAGAAATGCGATTTTTAGGGGACAAAACAAAATTTCTGGAGGTGATTGAGGCAGAGGGATTGGCTATGGAGACATTTGATATAATTTTTCATCCTCCAGACCCTTTTCCACATAGTTTTTGCAGCCATTGGCGTGACAAGGAGGCAAATCCTGACTGCTGAATAGAGCCCACAGGGGAATCCACCTTCAGTCCTGCTGGAGCCACAGCTGAGCCTTCCTTTCCTGACAAATTTGTGCTCCCTACTTCCCAAAACTTAATTTTGTGCACCTAAAAAGAAAACCCCAAAAAACCCAGCCAAGGAGCAGACATTTTAACCCTTTTTCTGCCACCCCCACCCTTGCAGCAGCCCAGCCCTCATCCCAATGATCCAACTTCCAATAGCAAAGCCGAGGGCACGCGGGAAGGAGGAAATAAAAACGGGGTAAGGAAAACGGAGCTGGGCTCCCAGCTCCCACAGGGGTGTGGAAAACAGGGAGCCGCCCTTGGTCTGGAATCCAGAGTGCAGGAAAACCCCTTTAGGGTCAGCCAGGCCCATGGAAACGGGGTTAAATAGAAATGGATGGGGGAAAAGCAGGAATCCCCTGGAGCAGCACCCAGAACTCCCACAGAGCAGAACCCAGAGGAGGTTTTCCCAAGGAAGCTGCTCCATACCCAGAGCTGTGGAGATGAGGGGCTGCACCCAGCCCTGGCTCAGGGAGTGCAGCCTGCCAGCCCCTTGGAGGGAGCTGGATGGGAATAGTCCCTCTGGAAGCTCAAGGGAGCTGGGTTATCCATTTAGATGCCCAAAATCATGGTGGTCCTGGGACTTGGGATGGGTTTGGGTGCCCAGAGCCAAGCAGGAAAGGGTTCCAGAGGTGAGGGATGCCTGGAGCCTCTTCCAAACGGAATTCCCTCAATGCCAAGCAGCAGTTCCTGTGTGTGTTGGTGTTTCATGGCATGAACTCATCCCAGACCCTTCCCACTCCTCCATCCCAAATTCTCAATGTCTGGCATGTGGGATAACAGGATCTGAATCCTTCCTGGGATTGCCCTTTCTTGGGGGAGGGGTTTTATCTCCCAGGAAATATTTCCTGAGAAATTCCCTGGTGTTGGGAGCTTCCCAAGGGCTGGAAGATCCCAGCACAGGGAGAAGTGGCCCTTTCCTCACTTTTCCCTAAGGACTGTTGGATGTCCACCCAAGGAATATTAAACCCCCCTCGTTTCACCTCTCTGGGATGGGAGAATCCCAGAGATGGGAATGCTGTTGGGTTTCTGATGTGGGTGGGGGATAGCACTTGCTAAGGGATGTGCTGTGCTCCTGCTTCCTCCCTTTGAACTGTGGGAATTTTCCTTTCCAGAAGAAAACCAACGGAGCCCCAAATGGATTTTATGCAGAGATCGACTGGGACAGATATGTAAGTGTCCCCTGGAGCTTCCCTGCCCCCAGCTGCATCCCACGGGAACCCGGGCTCTTCCCACACTCACTTTGGGCTCTTTGGGTGAAATCACCTCTGTGCAGGCCCCAATTCCACACCTGCAGCTCAGCCAGAATTCCCAGGAATGAGGTGGCTCTGGAGCGCTCTGTCCCGGCCCACGGGATGTTGCAGTTTAGCTAGAAAAAACTTTAAATTCTGAACAAGGATTAAAACTTTTTCTTCTGCAAAATAAGTTAAAGAATTTGAGGTGCCCTTTGCTCTGTGTGGCCCTGGGGGATTGGGCTCTGCAGGACGTCCTTTCCCAGAGGAGGGAGGAGCTGCTCCAGCATTCCAGGAATCCACATTCCTCATTTTCCTGGATTTTTATTTTTTTGTTCCCTATCCAGAACTCGCCTGAGCTGGATGAGGAGGGATACAGCATCCGACCCGAGGAACCAGGATATATCCTTTGGTTTTGGCTCTGCCTCTTGGGTTACAGCCTGTAACAGGAGCTGGGGATCCAAGGCAGGCCACTGGCTCTTTTTATTTCATTTTTATTATTTATTATTAATTATAATTATTTATTTCCACCTTTTGATTTTCTTTTGGAGCTGGCTCTCCGCAGGTAAAGCTGAATTCTCGAGGGAATTGCCTGAGGCATTTGAATTGTCTTTGATTCACTGCTGTGAAACGAGGAGTGGGGGAACATCCCACGGGATGCTCCATGGAGACCAAAATGCCTGATTATCCTGGAGAAAAGGAGGATCAGGGAGGAGCTTCTGGCTCTTGACAAGGAGAGTGGAGCCAGGTGGGGTTGGGCTCTGCTCCCAGGGAACAAGGATAGGAGGAGGGGGAAGAGCCTCAAATTCCAGGGAGGTTTATGTTGGATATTGGGAAAACTTCTTCATGGAAAAGGCTGGTCAGGCATTGGAACAACTGCTCAGGGGAGTTTTGGAGTCTCCATCCTTGGAGGGATTTAAAATCCATGTGGATGTGGCACTTGGGGACATGGGACAGCACTGGGGGATGGTTGGACCCGATTGTCTCATGGGGCTTTTCCAACCTGAACAATTCCATGAAATCCAGATACGGAATCCAGACATGATTCATAAATCCAGCCCTGGGCTGGATTTATCCCTGAGAGCAGCAGCTCCTCGTGCTCTGGCTGCACAGGGATGCAGCAGTGACAGGCCCAGCACAGGCTCTCCTCACCCGTTTTGGGGTCAGTGTTTTGGGACCAAAAAAACCCAAAGAGCAGCAAGCTCTCTAGCAAGCCTGGAACACCAAGGAAGGAAAATTCCTTAACTGAGCTGTACCTACCAAAGGAAAGCACTTCTACTCCTCCAGCGAGTCGGAGGAGGAGGAGGAGGCGCACAAGAAATTCAACATCAAGATCAAGCCCCTGCAGGCCAAGGACGTCCTGCGCAGCGCGGCCACCGTGGACGAGCTCAAGGCCTCCATAGGCAACATTGCACTTTCTCCATCCCCCGTGGTGAGTCCCCCCGGCCTTCCCCCGGCCTTCCCCCGGCCTTCCCCCGGCCTTCCCCGGCCCCCAGCCCCGTGGGTGTCAGTGCAGCTGGTTTGTAGCTGATAAATTTGGTCATATCGATGCCTTGCGCAGGCTGCCCTGGAGCAGAGCTCCAGAACAAAGCAGGGATTGATTCCAAGGATCTCCTCCATGGATCCACCTCGGGCAGCACCAGAGCCCAGCCAGGGCTGCCCCCAGGATGAACCCAAATGGCCCCAAAATGCACGAGCGCTGCCGGGGTCTCTCCCTGGGCTCAGCTCTGCTCCATGTGCACATTGCAGTGCAGTGTCCAATTCCAAGTTTATTATGGCAGCCCCTTGTATAGGGGATTCAAGATTCCTATGGACACCAGATGGGTTGGGATCTCTGCACCACCCAGGCCTTCAGTCAGTGGTATTTTTGCATTTGGGATCAGATGGGGTTGGCTGAGGGTCGCCTGTGCAGGTTTGAATCCAACCCATCCTTGCCTTGTCTGGGGACTCATTTTACTTCCAAGCTGGTGGAGTTTGGGGGTCTGATGTGACCAAATTTGTCTGGCAGCTACAGACCAGCTGCACTGTGGCACTGGTGGTGCCCAGGGATCATCCCAAACTCGGTGGGAGCTGATGTTCCACTTGGCTTTGGTGTCCTTATTTCGGGGTCTGGTCTGCAGGGGTGTGGCTGCAGGTGTTGCTCAGATGTATTGAAATGATCTTTCCAGTTCAAAATGTCACAAAAATCCCCTTTTGTGCTCATAGAACAGATCGCAATGCATTATTCCCTCATCTTTTTTTTCCCCTCTTATCCTTATTTTTTAATGAGGAAAAAGGGGAATTTCAATCAAGGAGAATTTTCAATCATCATCATTGAGGGTCTTGCCCGAGGAAAGCATTTGTGGGGTTTTCCATGGGGTTTGAGGGATGTTTCCCACCCTGGAGGTGAATCCTGGAAGGAAAGGTCATTTTTCCTTAGTCCATCCTCGCATCAAGTCCATTCCCTCTGCTTTTCCTAGGGCTTGTTAAGATTCCTGTTGGCCCATCCCGATCTGTTCAGCCATGAAAAGATGGGATTCTGGGCTTTCAGGAGGTTTAGTGTGGGCTTAAGTGACTTCCCAGACAAAGCTTTCCATGATTTATAAATAACCTGGATCTGAAGTGTGAATGGCTCTCTGAGCCAAAGTGAAACAAAATCCCTGTGCTTTGGTTCTGCTTCCCAAGCAGGGAGTTCCTTTCCTGTCTGTTGGCATCCCAGGATTAGAAATGGCAGTTGGATGTTTTGGGAAGCACAAAAAGAGGAGGGGAAAACCCAACCTCAAAATGAACAATTTCATATTGATTATGATAATAATAATAATATTAGGAAAAATGAGTTCTCGTGGAATGTGCGTTTTGCCAAATGGGATTTTTGTCTCCTCTTTCCTGTGGTGTTTTTCCTGCCAAGTCTGGGGGTTTGGGGAGGGGTGAGGATGACCCCAGTGTGGGGTGGGCTCAGGGATTTGGGTGCTAGGCTGCAGGGGGTCCCTGGAGCCAGAGCCCCCCTGGAATGTGCTCAGGGAAAGCCCCTGCCAGGCTGGCAGGAGGATCCCAAAGCCAGCAGCCAAGGGAGCAGATGGGCTGGGCACTGGAGCTGGATCCTGGCACGGGCCAGGAAAGCACCAGAGCCCCGGGCAGGAGCTGCCTGCAGGAACCTGGCACCCACAGGAATTCCAGAATTCCCTGCCAGCTCCCTGATCTTGTGCTGGGTTTGTCTTTTCTCTCCCAAACCAGCACAAAGCCCCGCTCTGGATCCGCATCCCTGCGGGGAGGGAGATCATAAATCCCATGGATTGGGCTGGGAGGGATCCAAAATCCCATCCCATTCCATGGCAGGGACACCTTCCCTACCCCAGGCTGCTCCAGGCTGGCCCTGGGCCCTGCCAGGGATCCGGGGCAGCCACAGCTGCTCTGGGCACCTGTGCCAGGTGCTGTGTCTGTAGTCACTGCCATTCCCAGCTCTCTGGACTGGGAGTTCTGGTGCCTTAACTAGGGATGAAGCCGACTGGGAATAGCTAGCAGGGCCTGTCGTGATAAAACAATGGAATTCTTTCCCTAAAATGGCTCAGACACAATTTTTCCATTTCCAAATTCTCCCTCTCCCACGTGAGGGTGGAGCTGGAGCACTCCTGTCCCTCTGCTTTGTCTTTAATCTGACACAAATCTTTGATTCCTCTTTATAAAAAAATTCCTCACCTTCTCATTCCTTCTTTTTGTTTTCTCTCTGCCTTCTTTTAGAGGAAAAGTCCGGTAAGAAACGTGATTTTTATCTCCTGGAATATTTTAACCCAGCTTTGTGTGTGCTCTTGTCCTGTCTCTAGAGCTGAAATGCCAAAAGCAAATAACAAATCCTGCCCTTCTAAAATGAAGTTTCATTTCCTTTCTCGCTGACTTAGAGCATTTTAAAATAGAATGTGTAAAAATAGAGCTGGCCTTGGCTCTGAGCGTGCTTTGGGGGTGTAGTTTGGGTCCAAGGATTTGGACCAGATGTGTAAGGCTCGGATTTACCTGGATTGGGAACATCCAAAAGGAGAAGGCAGCAAACCCGTCCGTGGTGCCACTGGGGTTTCTCCAAGAGAACTCAGCTTCCAGGGGGGAAATCCCCCCATTTCCCAGGACTTGGGTTCCCCTGGGGGGCTGTCCCAGGGTGACCCACGAGGGGTGGTGGCAGCTGGGGACCTTGGGGTGCTGACGTGTCACTCTCTGACCAGGTGTCTCTTCTCTCCCCCCTCGCTGACCGCAGCGGCGCAGCCCGGTAAGAGCCCGCTCCTGGGAATGGGGATACGGGGTCCTGCCCGTGCTGGGCTCTGGGGTGGGCACAGGCCATGGGGACAGCCCCTTGTGTCACCCCAGTGGTGGTGGGTGGGACCCTGATAGCACAAAGGGGCCCTGTCTTGTATTTTCTGGGTTCCCAGACGAAGGAAGGGGAGGAAGGAATCTGACTAATTTAGATTAGAAGGCTAATTTATTATTGTATGATCTATGTTATATTAAAGAATGCTATTCTACAGTAAAGAATACAGAAAGGGATACTTACAGAATGCTAAAAAGCTAATAATGAAACTCGTGACCCTCTCCAGAGTCCTGACACAGCTTGACCCTGATTGGCCAAAGAGTGAAAACAATTCACATGAAACCAAAGAAACAATCTCCTGTTGGATAAACAATCTCCAACCACATTTCAAAGCAGCAAAACACAGGAGAAGCAAATGAGATAACGTTGTTTTCCTTTTTCTCTGAGGCTTCTCAGCTTCCCAGGAGAAGAATCCTGGGCAAAGATTTTTCCAGAAAATATGACAGGGATTCCCATCACTCAGGGAATCACAGAGATCCCACTCTGGTTCTGGGGTGTCCCTGCTCCCGTGGCTGGGCAGGTTTGGCTTTTGCCCCATGAGCAGTTGGCACAGCTGGCCATGGCAGTGGAGAGTGCCCATTCCCAGAGGGATTTACAGTCCTGTGGACGTGGCACTCGGGACAGCACAGCTGCCAGCCGTGGTTTCGAGTGGCTCAGGAATTTTCTGCAGGGTTTTGTGCTCCTGCAGGAAATGTCCCCTCAGATGGCTCCTGCCACCTCGGCTGGGCTGCTTTGCTCCTGGGGTGACAACTGCCACCCACCCCTGTCCCCGTGCACCCCACTTATCCCTGTGTTTCTCCTTCCAGGGGACGATTAAAAGGAATTTATCCAGTAAGTATCTCCTGCAGCCTGTGAAAACGGCACTCACTGCACCTGCTGGAGGGGTTTGGGGAGTGGGTGGGAAAAGGGGTGACTTAAATTTGGTTTAAAGTGGTGCTGGCACAGCAGATGGCTCCCAAAATTCTTCCCTGGAGAAGGAGTGGGGACGTCCTTGGGACGCCCATAGCAGTGCAGCTCCCTGATTTAGCTCGGTACAGAAATAAATCAGAATTAAAAGCAGGTTTTTCCTGCCAGGAGCCCTGCACAGCAGGGTGGGTGGGACACCAGGGGTCTGGGGTCAGGGGGATGCTCTGGAGTGGGGATGACTCTCATCCATGTGTCCTGTCCCAGGTGAGGAGATCACGCGGCCCCGGCGCTCCACGCCCACGCCAGACCCCGCCAGGTCAGTGCAGAGCCTGCCTGGCACCTCCAGCTCAGGCTCCTCATCCCACCGGGACACTGGGACATTGCCACCTGCACTGTGCTCCATGGGAAGCTGCAGGGGCCCGATGGGGTTTTGGGAAGGGGTTGTTCCCCGGGAGGGCGAGGAATGGAATTCCCAGAGCAGCTGTGGCTGCCCCTGGATCCCTGGCAGTGCCCAAGGCCAGGCTGGACACTGGGGCTGGAGCACCTGGGACAGTGGGAGGTGTCCCTGCCAGGGCAGGGCTGGCACTGGGTGGGCTTTAAGGTCTCTCCAACCAAAAACATTCCAAGATTTTGGCAGCTGGTAGTGGTTGGGATGCTCGGTGTCCATCCCTGCTCTCCACCCAAAGCTCCAAGGATGTTCCCTGCTGGAAGCCACCTTGAGCCTGATCCTTAGGGAGCTGGCCAAGCTTCGGGGGGATGTATTGATTCAGCACAGCAAACATGCAAGTTTTTATGGAATAAAGCCAAATCTCCCTGGCAATGTGCCCTGTGCAGCTCCAGGGGTCGACTCAAGGTGTGTTGTGGCAGGGCATGGTTCGGATCCCAAGTATTTATTTTTTAAATCCTTTTCCATGGAGTTCTGACCAACCCTAAAGCAACTCAGTGTCCCAGCAGCTGCTGTGGCACCACAAGGCTGGCACTGTGGTGCTGCCACTCTCCTTTCCCTTTTTCCCACCTGGAACCCGTGTTTGGCCAGCTCCTCGTTGGTCTGGGGTAAAAAACATCCTCAAGGACGGGGTCAGAGCCCCGACGTGCCCCTCATGGCTGCTGTGCTCCTCTCCCCACAGCAAGAAGCCCGCGGAGGATCCGGCGGCGCTGGCCCCGCTCTTCGGGCCCCCGCTGGAGTCGGCCTTCGAGGAGCACAAGCTGGAGGGTGAGTTTGGGGCATGCAGGGGGCTTTGGGGCACTGCGAGTGAGTTTGGGACATGGCAATTGACTTTGGGGCCATGGCGGGTGAGTTTGGGGCTGGGGCGAAGGAGTTTGAGGACCTGGGAAATTTGGGGCCAGGACAGGTGAGTTTGGGGCTGTGATGAGGGAGTTTGGGGCTGGGGCGAAGGAGTTTGGGGACCTGGGAAATTTGGGGCGTGGCAAATGACTCTGGGGCTGGGGCAAGGGCAATTGAGGCATGGCAAGTGAGTTTGGGACTGGGGCAAGGGAGTTTGGGGACCTGGTGAGTTTGGGGCTGGCCTTGGTGAGTGAATCTGGGGCCGTGGTGAGTGAGTTTAGTGACAGGGTGAGTTTGGGGCTGTGGCAGTCAAGCTTTGGGGCCATGGTGACTTCAGACCACGGTGGGTGACTTTGGGGACCTGGTGAGTGAGTTTAGTGACAGGGTGAGTTTGGGGCCATGGCAACTTTGGAGCCATGGTGGCTTTGGGCCACAGTCGGTGATTTTGGGGACCTGGTGAGTGACTTTGGGGCCATGGTGACTTTGAGGACACAGTGGCAACTCCTGGCAGGGACACAGGAATATTCTCCAGCCCTGGCAGGGGTGGAGTGCCCATTCCTGGAGGGATTTCAGAGCTGTGTGGATGTGGCACTTGGGGACAAGATCGGGGTAGAACTGGCACCTCAATGGGCTCTGAGGGCTTTTCCAGGCTGGACAATTCCCGGATTCCCAGCCCTCCTGCTGGAGGAGGGAGCCCAGGCAGGGGTTGAAGGACGGGTGGCCACGTCCGGAGTTAATTCGGGCTGGGTGGAAGCAGAGCGAGTGCTTAAGTCAATTGGTTAATTATGAGGTCTGGGAGAGATCCTGACAGGGAGCAGCTCAAGAATATGAAAACTCAGCATTTTCCAGTCAACCCTTCACCCTGGAGCAGGGGGTTTGGCTCCATCCAGGGTTCTGGAGGCAGCTGTAGGACAAGCCTTGCACCCCTCCATGCCTAGGAAACGCCACCTCAAAATGTCATTTTTCCTTCCTGTAACACAGAGACACTTTGCTTCCTTCCAAAGCTGGTATTTCCCAGCTTTCCCAAAGCTCAGGAACCTTGCAAGGCTTGTTTTCCCCAAACCAACCCCATCCATGCCCTGGAGCGGGCTCTTCCCAGAGATCTCCTCCTCTCCCTCCTCCTGGAGGGCCACTGCCCTCATGGCCTCGTTATGTCCTGTCATTAACGCCTCCTGTTAATTCTTTTAATCAAGACAATGTTTGCAAGCAGTTCTCTGCACAAAAACTCCAAAAAATCTAAATTATATACAAAAATTTTTTTTTCTCCTCCTTTATTCTCTGGGAATACAATTATCTTTTAATTTTACTACCTGATGGGTTTTTTTTGTTTGCATATCCTAAAATTCCAGACCACTTTGGCCATCAATACAATGTTTTCCTTCCCATAATAAGCCTCCAAATCCATCCCTGGCATTGTTTTGTTTGTCAAACAGCATAAGTGTCAAACTAATTGCACGTCCTGCTTCAAAATCAGACAGAGTTTTAATTATCCACCATTACAGAACCCCCTGTCCTTAATTAATGAGGTTTCTCTCACTGTCTGGGCCCTCTTTTCCCAGAGCCTCAGAGTCTCATCTGTGTGTTTGGGTGATGGGAAGAAAATATTTGTGTTTTTCATTGCTTTCAAACGTTTATTTTTGATTTTTCAGCTGCTCTGGACCAGCCTGAGATATGGGGGTCAGTCCAGCCCATCAACACAAACGTAGAGTCCCCAAAACTTCCAAGACCTTTTCCAACTGGAAGTAAGTGACCACGAAAATAAATTAATATATCCAGAAATCAGGTCAAAGATTTGAGCTGTCCTCATCCAGCCCGTGATATTTTAAATTAAAGGGGTTTTTTTCCCTTTGTCTGGCTTGGGTGACAGCACTGTGGGCTGGAGGAGGGAGTGGGATCGATAAGGGATCAAGGGATGGGATGGATCCTGGTCCTGCACGTTCATGCCGAGGTTACTTGGCTGGAAGAGTTGGAAGCACCGGTTTTTCCAGGATAACATCAGGGAGAGCAGCACAGCCCCAATCCGGATTTTTATTGCAGCTTTCCCTCTGCCCGGGGCAGCTCGGAGCCGTTTCCTCTGCAGAAATGCCCCTGTAAAGCACAGCTGGTTAATTAGCCGCTGTTAATTAGCCCCAGCATTCCCGATCCCGGATCCACATCCTGGATCCACGTGGGATGGGCACGGGAGAAAGGCGCAGGCAGCTCCGAGCCTCAGAGGACCCAGGTTTAATTAAAATGCTAATTGAGGCCGTTGAAACAGGCTGCGATGTAAAAAAGGGGGAAATTCCATCAAACCCAACAGAAATGGCTTCCCACTGCCAGAGGGCAGGGAGGGGTGGGGTATTGAAGGAATTAATGGGATATTGGGAAGAATTCCTCCCTGTGAGGGTGGGGAGGGATGGGATGGAATTCCCAGAGCAGCTGTGGCTGCCCCTGGACCCCTGGCAGTGCCCAAGGCCGGGCTGGGAGCCCATCCCTGCCTTGTCCCCTTTCCGCGGCGATCCCGTGTGCCATCCCGTGGGATGTCCTGCCGCTCCCCGGCTGAACTCTCCCCTCTCTGTGCTCTCTTTCAGCCCCTCCGCCGCTCCCCCCGAAGAACATCCCGGCCACGCCGCCGCGCACCGGCTCCCCCCTGCCCCCGGCCATCGGTAACGGCTCGGGGGGCACCGGGGAGGGCTCGGGGACAGCCCCGGGGCCGGGGGGCACCGGGGAGGGCACGGGGACAGCCCCGGGGAGGGCACGGGGACAGCCCCGGCTCGGGGGTGGCTCTGGGGAAGGGACAGGGCCATCCCCAGCCCTGGGGTGGCACTGGGGGGGGCATGTCCCATCCCCAGATCAGGGGTGACATGTCCCCATGGCTGTGTTTCGGGCAGGGATTTGGTCCCTGTGCATCCTCTGCCCTTGGAATTCAGAGCATTCCGGGCTGGGCTGGGTTGGGAGGGATTTCTGTCCTGTCCAGTTCCCACCTTCCACTCCCAGCCCGGCCCCGGGCACCGCCAGGGATCCGGGGCAGCCCCAGCCCTGTGGTGCCTCAGTGGGTGCTGCACTAGAAGCAGCACAGAGATGTTTTTGCCTCCCAAGTCGGTCTCACCGCGGTGAGATTCCTGTTCTTTACACCATCCCTGCCTCTGGATCAGTCGCTCTGGGAATGCAGTGCAGGGTTAGCCTCCATGTCCTGCTGGAAGCCGGGATATATTCCCAATCCCAGAGCACTGCTCCTGCCTGTGCTGAGGAAACCAGAGCTGTGCAGGGTCTGCCTGTGGCAGGAGCTGCTCCTGCCCTCCCTGCCCCCAAATCCCTGCCGAGAGGTGGGAAAAGCCCCCCTGATCCTGCAGCCCGGGGCAGGGCAGGGAAATGGTGCTGGGAATGAGGGACAGCCCGGGGCAGGGATGGAAAGGTGCTGGGAATGAGGGACAGCCCGGGGCAGGGATGGAAAGGTGCTGGATGCAGCCCGAGGACATTAGGTGCTTCCAAACATATAATTCATGGTGCTGGCTGGTGGGAAAGCAGGATCTGAGCACAGCCAGAGCCCCTCGGGGTGAACCCCCTGTGCCACGAGGAGCCCCCTGCTCTGCCCATGCCCATCTCATCCCGATTTTCCAGGCTGGCAGGGTGTCCATGCCCATCCATCCATCCATTCCCAGCAGCAAATGCTCCATCATTTGCTGGGCTGTGCCTTGTGTCTTTGTGAAGCAAGTGCCTGAGGTCTGGTTTTGTCTGGTTCAGCAAATCCCTGTTTTATCCCCCCCACCCCAAATGTAGATCCCAGAACAGAGCAGGGATGGGGTGATGCTGCCACGAGCATCCCAGAGGGCATTTAGTGTTAGGATCTCCCTTCCCTGGATGTGAAGTGCTTGGCTGATGGATCTGTGGTGGTTCTGGCATCAGGTGGGAATGTTGGTGTGTGGTGGCTCAGTGAGCAGAGCCCTGAAATCCCCTTCTGTGCCCTAAAATCCCCTTCTGTGCCCTAAAATCCCGGCCTGTTCCTGCTTGTGGCTGGACTGCCTTCCCTGTGGCTGGAATACACTCCCCGTGTGCATCCTGTGCTGCATGCCCAGACTCCAGCAGCATCTAACCAGCATGTCTAAATATATGTATTTATACCTGAGTGTTTATAAATATATGTATCTATACCTGAGTGTTTATAAATATATATACAGAGAGAGTGGGGTGTGCCAGAGTGCTGAGCGCACGCCTTTGGTACCTGCTGATAAATCAGAGTTGCTGCTGAGGACGTGCTGTGGTGCAGAGGACAGAAAAGGCTGTGAATTCGGGGGAATTTGGGATTCTTGGCTGTGAGTGCTGGCTCGTGGTGCATGCTCCCTCCTCCAGCCTTTGGATCCCGCGGGATTCATTCCATGTCACACCTGGCTGTGGTGGAAAGGTTCTTGCCCATGAATTATATAAATAGAGACGAGAAAAGGTGGTTTTAGAGCCTCTCCCGTAGAAGTAGAGCCCGTAGAGAGTAGCGCAGCCCCCGCTTAACGCCCGGTGTAAAATAAACCTCCTCTGACCGCAGGAGGGGACCAGGCAGCAGCAGAGCCCAAACGGGACAAACTCCCGTCCATCAATGACTTGGACAGCATTTTTGGCCCCGTGCCGTCCCCCAAATCTGCTGCTGCCACCGCGGAAGACAAGTGGGTCAATTTTTCCGAGCAATCCCCGGAGAACGCGCCTCCGGAGCTGTCGCCCCGGGAGAAGGCGGCGTCCCCGGCGGCGGGCAGCCCGGCCAGCGCCCCGGCCGAGCCTCCCCGCCCGCTGCCCTCGCCGCTGCAGCTGCAAGACGCTCCCAAGAAGCTTCCCGAGCTTAAGGATGATTCGGCCGAGCCCGTCGCCTCTCCCAAAGATTTGGGGCCGGGCCCCAGGGGCACCCCGCCGCCCCCGCCGCCGCCCACCTACCGCGCCGTGGTCTCGTCCCCCGGACCGGGCGCCGGCACGGGAAGCACCAGCGGTACGTGCTGAGCTCGGGTGTGCTGCGTGTGGCCGTGGTGACCCTCCCGCCTGGCTGTGCCCGCCGTGCCCTGCTGCCAGCCCGTGGCCTGCCTTCCTTCCTTCCTTCCCTGGCGCTCGGGGCCTTTCCCGAGGCTCCCTGCCACCCAAACTGGGCACGGGCTCGCTGCTGCTGTTGTTGTTGTTGCTGTGGTTGTGCTCTCCGTGGGGACAGAAGTGGTTCGGGTCACTGGTCTGAGCGAGCCGCAGATGCAGGGCTGGGGTGTTTGTTTGGATCACAGCCTCTCATCCCGGCAATTCCCAGCTGGGAAGGGTGCTCAGCTCTCCCTGCCTCTGGTGTGGATGGGGACAAGTGTTCTGGGGTGAACCTCTCCCCCGGGAGAAGCTGCTGGCTCTGCCTGCCTTCACCTGATTAATTATGAATGTTCATTAAGGCAAACGAGCAGGGAGGCTCGGCTTGCCCTCACTCCCTGCTTGAGGAGCTGCAGCCTGAGCCTGTTCCTTTAGGGCCTGAGCCCGGCTCAGCCCTGTGCTCCCACCCTGCATCCACCAGAGGTGATTTTGGGGAGATCACAGCCTTGAGGAAGCTGCACTGGTGGTGGGGTGGGTGTGCAGCCCCCAGCTCCGTGTGTGACCCCTGCCACCCTCCTGGTGGGAGCTGGGAATTTGTGTCACTGCCCGGGGCCTTTGTCACCTCCAGGAGGGTGCCCTGAGTGTGGCTGGGGCTGCAGCTGTGGCTTTGCTTCAGTGCTGGTGGCTTTTCTGTGCTGGCTCGGGGGTGGGCGGGGGTCCCTGTGGGGGCTGCGGTGTCCAGCAGGAGCTGGGACTTCTCCAGGAGCAGGAAAGACCGGATCCATCCTGCACTGCTCTCCAGCCCAGCTGAGCACAGGATGGAGACAGGCCAGGGCTGCCCTCGGGGGGTGGATGGATGGAGAAGCCTGTCCCAGAAGATCCACATCCCTGCTCCAGGAATTTCTCCTGTCTCAGTCTGGGCAGCAATGGGAATGGAAGTGTGGGCACAGCCACACAAACATGCTGCCAATCCTCCAAAGGCTGCAGCAGGCTGTGCAGCAGCGCCTGTCCCACCCCTCCCACCCTTCCAAGGCTGGTTTTTGGGTGCTGGGGAGCACCCCAGGATCTCCTCCTGCCTGCCCAGCCCGTGGGTGTCACCAAGGCTCTGGGCAGGGTCACGGTGGAAGGGCTTGGAAGGGATCTCAAAGCTCATCTTGTTCCAGCCCCCTTCCACCACCCCACTCCAAGGCCAGCATTCCAGCAGATTTCTGATTCCGTGCTGGTTTCCATGTGCTGCCAGTTTCTGGTGTAGGAAATATCCACTCCCTGCATGGAAGGCACCATCTGGCCAGGCTTTGGCTACCTGGTGGCCACAGAACCCTCCCTGGCACTGTCCTGCAAGGTTATTTCCTCTCAGTATTTCCTATAGTGTCAGGCTTTTTTTGGGATAAGGAATGAAAAATTCAAACTTTGGTTCCCAAATTAGGCTTTGAAATAAAAGTGGCTTGAATTTTGGAGCTGTGCAAAGGATTGACTGGAATTTACTCCCTTTATGCCAGGCCCTCTCTGTCTGAGCCTGCTCTCCTTCACCTCTTCTTGTTTCTATAAATCCAACTTTGATCTTTGCTTAACCTGAGCTATCACCCAAAAACTCAGGAAATTATTCTCTTGTAAGTGGGAAAACTATTCAGTTATCATCTCGTCAGTCTGAGCATGGAGCTGCTGAGCCCCATGGAAGCTGGTGGCAAACACTGGCTCAGCTCTCCTGGCCCTGAGCTCTGAGTTCCTCCCCTTCCTGCTGCCCCTCGTGTCCTGGTGCCCCAGTTCCTGCCGGGCTCCTCCTGGAAGGAATTCCCGTGTGTGGAGCGAAGCAGGCTCCTGGATCGCCCTGAGGCAGTTCCCATTTGGTCACAGAGCTCCCCCTCTGCCGCAGGGTCTGTGAGAGCCCGAGCTCAGCTCCCTCCTTCGGGAGCCTCTTCCAGAGGGTTGGGAGCTGCGTTGTGCTCCCAGCAAATCCCAGAACCTTCCTCTTCCCCCCTTCTTCACCGGGCCAAAGCTTTGCCGTGTGATGAGGATCCCGACCTCGCAGTTGTGCCAGCCCTGGAGCAGTATTTCATCCATCACCCCATCCCTCCTGCCCCTATTTTTGGGAAAGCTGTAAGACTCCGATGTCCATTTTGCAGAGGAAAGCGGGCACTGAGCAGCCCCTGCCGGGCATCCACGGGCACCAGCCCCCCTGGAACGTTCCTTGCAGGGATGCTGGGGAGCCCTGGGGGGCAGCAGCGGGGGCAGTGCCCGCGGGCACTCACGGCTCCCTTTGTTGCAGGTTCCTCGTCCCCGGCTCGCCCCGGAACGCCGCTGGCCACGTGTGGCACCCCCCCGCCACCGCCGCCCCGACCCCCGTCCCGGCCCAAGCTGCCCCCGGGCAAACCCCCCGTCGGCGATGTGGTACGTGGGGAGGGGCCGTGCCAGGGGGAGGGCGGCATTCCCAGTCTGGAATGGGCAGCGGAGCGGGGCGAGCCACCCACGGTGGGCTGGGCTGGCCAGGATTTGTGGGTTTCCCGTGGGAAGGGCTGTGCCACCGCTGCTCTGCCAGCCTGGTGATGCCAGCCGGGGTGCTCAGTCAGGGCAAGGGCTGGGAGTGTGCCCCGGGAAGGGTTTGGGGGCAGAGCAGAGCAGTTCCAGCCTCCTGGAGCGGTGCCAGCCCAGGGCTGTCCCGTGTGCCACCCCGGGCTCCTCCAGGTAAGGCGTGAGGACTTTGGGGTGGATGCTGGGGGTGTAAAATGACCCCCAAAGGGTCCCTGAGGGCCTGGGGAGCTGGCACCTGCTGGGCACTGCTCCTGTCCCAATGCCCAGCCCATTCCACCCGTCCCACGGCGCCTGGAGCTGCCACCCTCGGTGCGGATGGGTGGAATCTCAACACCCACCCCCACAGTGGTGGGGATCATCTGTTTTCCCAGCTCCAAGTAAAATGGCATTGGCACTAAAACAACTCAAATAATTCCAGTTTTTCCTCTGGGGCACCGGCAGAGCAGTCAGGAGGGTCCAGGCGAAATTTTATTTGTTTGATGCAAATGTTTCTTGTTTGATGCAAATGCTTGGATTTTCTTTAACTTTGTGTTGTTTTATGTTTCTCTCCAGTCCAGGCCTTTTAGCCCTCCCATCCACTCCTCCAGCCCTCCTCCGATAGCACCTTTAGCCCGTGCTGAAAGTACTTCTTCCATATCTTCCACCAATTCCCTGAGTGCAGCCACCACTCCCACCGTTGGTAAACACACACAGCACTGCTGTTCTTTCACCTTTCCTAGCCCTCCAAAAATTCCTTTCATTTGCTAGGTCATTTTTTGGGGTCAGATTTGTTGGTTTCCGTCGGGGTTTTAAATGCTAAAAGGGATTTGAGGGGGGTGATGGATCAGGAGAGTGATGCTGCGAGGGAAGTTTTTCCAAATGTTGTGGGAAATGGATGTTTGGTAAAAGTCAAGGGAATCGTAACAGAAAATGTGGTTCTGGGCTGTAAATTGGGGCAAAATCAGCTTTTTTCGCAGGGGATGCTTGTGCCTGGAGGGGAGTGGGGCTGGAAGCCAGACCTTGGGATCCAGGGATATTAAATCTCTTGGAATGTCTTAAATTCACACTTGCCCTCAAAGCAGTAACAGAAAAGGGGTCTTGGAAAAGCGAGTGGCTCTTCCCAGCCACTTGGCACATCCCAGGGCAGAGCACTGCAGTTTCCGTCCTGGGAAAAGTGGGGTTTGCCAAAACCCCGGGGCTGAGATGAGGAATGGGAATCGAGTCTGGCTGGCAGCTCCCAGCTCCAGGCGCTGGGTCCCCCCACGCCTCCCCCTCCGTCCCCTCCTGTCCCCTCTGTCCCCGCTGCCGGCTCTCCTCCTCCATCCCTGGCTGCCAGCCCCCCGCTTCCTGCGGCTCCATCTCCTCCAGGATCACCTCCCTCCTTTGTCTTCTCTTCCCGACCCTCTGGCAAGCCCGGCCTGGCGGGAGTGGCGCTCGGCCACCGCGCTGGCTGCACGTCTGTCACCCGGGGGAGCGGTGGCACTGCCACCAGCAGGTGCCGGTGACGGCGCTGTCCCCGCCGTGCCGCTGGCACCGAGCCCTCCCCGTGGCTTTGCTGGAGTCTCGACTGCGTCTCCGTCCTGTTGTCACCTCACTCTCGGGTGTTTTGGTGCTCGTGCTGTTCCGGCTGTTGGTCACTGTCACAGCGCCTTGCTGGAAAAGATGTCCCCGGGACAGCGAGCCCTGAGCGTCCCCTGTGCCCCTGGCAGTGGCCTCAGCGGTGCCTGAGGGCACGGCGGGCACAGGGACACGGCGTTAGGGGAGGGGACAGCCAGGCTGAGGACAGGGACAGTGCCAGGGGCTGCGGGAGGCTGGCAAGGGCCATGGCAGCGAGCTGAGCTCTGCCACCCCAGCTGCCTCAGGCTCTCCGTTTGGATTGCTTTTTTTTCTCTCATATTTTGGGATCAAAAGCTGCTGTTTGATGATTTAGTGACCGCCCCGTGTGGAGCAGAGGGGATGAGGTTGCTGGGCTGGGGGGGGAAGCTGGGATCCCATACCCTCCATGGAGACTTCCTTGGAGCAGAGCCAAAACTGGGGCTCTGGGGTCACCCCTGACCAGGGAACTCCGAACAGGGCAGCCAGGAGGAGCATCCCAGGTTTTGTAGGTGTTGCACTTCCAGCTCCATGCATAGATTATGCTGAGTGAGAAAGGACCCACAGGGATCATCGATCCAACTCCTGCCCTGCCCAGACCCCAACATTCCCACCCTGGCATCCCTGGAGCACTGTCCAAATGCTCCTGGAGCTCTGGCAGCCCCGGGGCCGGGACCATTCCCTGGGGAGCCTGGGCAGTGCCAGCACCCTCTGGATGAGGAATCTTTTCTGCTGGCATCCAACCTGAACTTGGGAAAAGCTGGATGGGGCACAGGCAGAGACAGACAGGGTTTGGGGTCTGCATTGGGAAAGCGTCTCCTTGTCCCCACCACGGCCAGGGCGGGCACTGGTGCTGGGTGAGCATCCAGGAAAACCCACAGCAGAGGAGGGACAGCTTCCAATCCCCAAAGAGGACAAGCTGGGCTGGGAGCTGTGCAGGGATGGGCAGGTCTGGCACCAGGGACACCCCAGTCCAGCTGGGGCTGCAGTCTGGCTCCACCACTTTCCCATCCCCCGTGCCCTGTGGCAAAGTCCCATGGAGTTTGTCCGGGAGCAGGGGCAGGGCTGTTCCTTCCCCGTGTCCTCCCTGCTGTTCTGGTGTGCTTTCCTCGTTGGCTGCATGTCAGTCTGGACAATTGCTGGCACAGCAAGGAGCTCTCTGGTTCCCGTGTCGGTGCCCCTCCGTCATTTCTGTCTCTGCGTTGATACAAGTGCGCTGCTTGGTTTCACTTGGGATCCGTGTTTTCATTCTTTTTGTGTTCTTTTTTTTTTCTTCCTTTTTTTCTTTCTTTCCTTTGCGTTTCTTCTGCTTGTGTTATCAGAGGATGATGCTTTTATTGACAAACTGCCCGCGTTTGAGGGGCGCAGTGAAACGCCGGCAGGTACTGTACTAGCAGGGAGTTTTCCGAGAATTCCTTCCGCCTCCCGAGCGGCGCCCACCGCTCGCAGCACCTTGCATGACAGTTTCTCAGTGACTCAAAGGACTTGGAGGTGGAAGGCTGGCACCTCCCGAATTCCGAAAGGTTCATTTAGCAGCTCCAAAAGCTGTTTTGCCCCATCCCACGTCCCGCCCTCACATCCCGAGTTATTCCAGCGTGGCGCCTGCGGAGGCGGCGGGAGCGCAGGGAGCTGGCTGTGACGGGAAGGGAAGGCTCCAGCTAGGATCCGCTGCTCTGTGTGCGTGTGTCCGGTTCTCTGCAAGTGTCGTGTCCTGAGATGCGAGCAAACAGCCACGTGCCACTGTCCCTGAGTGTCACTGCGGGGTGGCGTGCGGAGCAGCATCCCGCCGGGAATGCTGAGCAGCGCCGGCCCCGCTCCGCGCGGGCGGAGCCCGGAGCGCATGAGCCGACAAAACCTCTTCCACCGTGGCCAAAAAAAAGCGAGAGCACCCCTGCAAACCGCTCACCCAGCGGGCAGAACGACTCTTCCATCTGGGCTTCCATAGCTTTGCTTCCCGCTTTGTGTCCCCCGAGCCAGCGGCCGGGTGTCGCGCCCCTGTCCCCGCACGTGTGACCGCCCTGCAGCGCCTCGCCCCCTCCCCGTAGCGACATTAATGACCTGCTCTGTGACTCACACTGTGTCCTTCTCTCTCCCTCTCCTTAACCTTTCCCATCCCGCTTCAACTCCTGGCCATACAGAGAATGAACAGCCTTCCCTCGTTTGGTTTGACAGAGGAAAGTTTTATTTGACTTTCGAAGGTAAGTAGTGCCAAGCACAGCCGGTAACCGCTCGCTCCCCTCGCTCTCTCGCTCCCGGGGTTCCCTTCCGGGCTCCATCCAGTGCAGCTTTCCGGGCTCCATCCAGTGCAGTTTTCCTGGCTCCATCCAGCCCAGCTTCCCGTGCGGAATGCTATGGCTGCTTAGATGACATCGCCAGTCCGACCGGAATCGTTTTAATTTGATTTGATTTCATTTGTGCCATTTGTCCCGCTGATCTCTTTTTTTTTTCCTCATTGATTTCATTTTCAAACAAAAGAAAAAACAAAGAAAATAAATCCGACCCAAGCAAACCAAAAGGCCAAAGGAGCATTCCGAATATTCCCAGACGGAGGTGAAAACCAGGGAGCGGAGCCGCTTGCGCTGCCCAGGACCCTGACCCTGCCGGCCAGGGCTTCTCCGCGCTCCCCGCTCGCTCCCGGAGCGGGCTGGGGGCGGTGATTCAAACCTGCAAAGCCCAGGAGCCGCCTCCGCTGCCTGCTGCCCTCCTCCCGGCCCGCTGTCGGCAGGAAGGGCTCCGGGAATGCGCTGGCACCGCCAGCACCGCCAGGGCTGTGCCAGCCTGTGCTGCTGGGCTGCAGGTGCGGGAGGTTTGGGGTCCCTCGTGGATGAGGGAGGGGAACAGCTCGGTTTGGGGCCGATGGCACCCTCTCCGAGCAGTGTCACATCCCAGAGAGGACAGCCCCCAGGCTTTGGGGGCAGCTTCGTCCCGCGGGCACGGAGCCAGCATTTTCCTTTTGAGGGCAGAAGGAGAAGCAGGGGGAGGGATTCCCGAAAATCCCGAGGAAGCACCTGGGAGCTGCTGTGTGCCTGCAGGTGGAGCTGGGGCATGGTTCCATGTGGGATTCCCAAAGTGTCCCCTCCTGCAAGGGAGGGGCCTGGGATGGCGCTGCCTGGCATGGTTCCATGTGGGATTCCCAAAGTGTCCCCTCCTGCAAGGGAGGGCCTGGGATGGCGCTGCCTGGCAGCGGGATCCTGGCTCGGGATCATGGAGCAAACCCCTCCTGGTGGCAGTGATGGCTGAGCAGCAGCAGGAGGCAGGGATCACGGTGGTGACCGGGGGTTGGGTCCTTCCTTTCCTCCCTTTTCCAAGGTCCCCACTCTGACATTTCCCACTTTGGTGTCCCCACTCCGATGGCATCTCCCAGCTTAGAGCCAGGAGGGGTTGTGCAGGAGCTGCTTCCTCCTGGTGCTTGGGGCAGTTTGGCTGTTTCCAGCCAAAATCCCTGTTTGGGTTTCCTTTCTCAGGGGCTTGTTGGGAGCTCTGGGGAGAGCTGAGGACAGCAGGGACAGCGCTATCCCTCACAGGAATATTCCAGCTCCACATTCCCCCTGCTCCGTGCTTCCTCCCTGCCCCTTGCCCAGCACCAGCACATCTGGGGCTTTTCCTGTGCCTTGGAATCTTAACCCTGGACTGGAATTCCTGGGCTTGGTTCTGGTGGTGTGAATGGTCTGGAGCTGGGGTGGGATTATCCCGGGAATGCAGGAGTGTGGCACTGCCCCAGGATCACCCCACAGCCCAGCAAGGAGCTGTCTCACTTCCACACACTGGATTTCTGATTGATCGCTAAATATTTGAGCCCAACTTGAAAATAAAATAAATATAAACTTCATGTGCAGGGAAGTGACAGATCTGCTGAGTTTGGCATCTGGAATTTAGGGCATGGAATGCCAGAAGGGAAATTATGGTTTCTTTCTGGATTCAGGTTTTTTTTTTGTGTATGTGTGTGTGGCAAGATCCATGTTCTTGATGAACGTGGGCAGTTTGTCCCTGTGTGGAAGGAGACATGGTGATGCTGTCATGTTCTGGGATCCCTGGCTACTCCACAGCTGCATTTTCCACCTTTTGTAGGGAAAAATAAGGCAAATTAAGCTGGTCTGCTGCTTGTGGTTAGATCCAAAGCTCCATAAAGTGGATTTTTTTTTCTGTTATTATCAGGTCATTTGTGCAAATGAAATGTTTATAAAAATTACTTTTGAGGCAGGAGCTGAAAAGGCAGGTTTGGGGTGGAGCTGTGCCACAGCAACTGGATTTGTCTCTCAGGTTTCTGGGCAATAATTGCAATGCTTATAATAGTTTATCCTTTTCTTTTTTAGTAAAAATATGAGTGTAAGAATTAATTTATTCCCTGAAGCCATGAAGAGAAGGATTTATGGATTCATGAGGGAGGAGTGGAGGCGACCAAGAACCCCAATTCCACCCCCATGACCTTCAGACCATTAGAAATGAGGATGTTTTGTTGTTGTTGCTGCTCAGATGGACTCACATTCCCACATCCCAGCTGAGCCTGGGGATCCATGTGATCCCTGGTTATTCCTGACTTTTCATCCTGCAGAATCAAAGATACAGATGCAGAAGGATGAGGGAAAAGGAGAGATGAGGGAAAAGAGGAGTGAGAGAGGGAAAAGGAAAAATGAGGAGGAAATTGTAGTGCTGTGGCAGACCCCTGGCTCACATTCCGTGCCTGGCCAGGAGGCTGGAGAGGGGCTGGAACACAAACCCTGAGAGGAACCCCTGGGGGAGCTGGGGGTGCTCCCCTGGAGAAAAGGAGACTCAGGGGTGCCCTCAGCTCTGCACAGCTCCTGAAAGGTGCCTGTGCTCAGCTGGGCTGGGCTCTGTCTGCAGGCACTGACACAGCCAGAGCACACAGCCTGCAGCGGCACCCAGGGAATTCAGGCTGGAGATCAGGGAAAGGTTTTCACAGAAAGGTGATAAAGCTCTGGGATGGCTGCAGGGGAGGTGCTGCAGTCCCCATCCCTGGGGGTGTTTAACAAAGCCTGGATGTGGCACTGGGGGCCAGGGTTGAGTTGGGGTGCTGGGGCTGGGCTGGACTCGATGGTCTTGGAGGTCTCTCCCAACGCTGTGATTCTGGGAATTCTGTGAATTTCCAGGTGGATGCAGTGGGAATATCCCACTGCCAGAATATCAGCTGCGTTTGATGGGTTGTTTGAGGGGTTGTTGCTCTGGGTGGGGAGCAAGGATTTGCTCCCAGAGGTGTCTTTGGGAAGGATTTTTAGAAAATGTGTTGTCCTGCATGCTCCCTCAGCCATGGGGTTTTGGGGTGCGGTGTCCCGTGGTTTTGGGGACCATGCCCTCATCTGGAACTGTCTGATGCAGTGGGAATATCCCACTGCCAGGATATTTCCTGCGTTTGATGGGTTGTTTGAGGGGTTGTTGCTCTGGGTGGGGAGCAAGGATTTGCTCCCAGAGGTGTCTTTGGGAAGGATTTTTAGAAAATGTGTTGTCCTGCATGCTCCCTCAGCCATGGGCTTTTGGGGTGCGGTGTCCCGTGGTTTTGGGGACCATGCCCTCATCTGGAACTGTCTGTTCTCCAGTGGGAATCCCACCAGGGAATGCCTGATGGATGTCGTGGGCTGTGGGCTCAGGAGCAGGAGGCTCTGGGCTCGTTAGGATAATGACTGTGCGTGGCTGTGGGGTGAGGTGTTCAGGAACAGTGGGATCCACCCCCGAGCACCCCCAGCCCGGGCTGCAGCTGGAATCCCGGATTCCCCCGAGCCTCTCTGGGGATGGGACCGGGAGGGACGCGCGTGGCTGCATCAGGGTTTTACACTTTTAGGCTGCATTAGGCACTGGAGGGGAAAATCCCTCATCTGTGCCTCCAGGAAGGAGCACTTAGGATTTATCCATTAACATGCGAGTTCCTTGGGGAGGGGTGAGGGCTCCTCCTCGCTGGTGGAAACCATCATTTCTCCCATTAATGTGCCCAAACTCCAAGTGTCATTGAAGTGACAGAAGTGCTTCTCCTGGGAGATGCTGCAAATCCCAATTTCCTGCTCCCAAACCCCTGTTTATTCCCAGGGGCAGCAGCAGAGAAAGAAGGGAAGGGATCATTTCTGAGGATGGCCCAAGCAGAAGAGCTCACCAGGAATGTGACACATTTTCTCAGCTTTGCTTCCCCCTTATCCTCTGCCTGTGGAAGTGCTGCCATTGCTGGAGCTGGCATTGGAATTCCTGTGGCTTTGGAATTCCTACAGCTTTGGCTGGGGCTGGCAGGTGCTCGTATGCTCTGAGCAAACCCCGGGCTGGATCTGTCCCCCTTTCCACCTGGGGGAAGGATGGTGATGGGCTGAGGGACAGGGATGGTGATGGGTTGAGGGGATCCCTGGATAAGCTGCCCCTCTGGAGACCTTTGCTGTTCCTTTTTAGCTGATTTGGGGCAAAATAATCCTCGTGCTTCACCTGGTGTACAGGCTGGGGTATTAAAAAAGGTTCCAAAATGATTCATTGCAGGAAATGGATGAGGCTGAAGGGCATTCCAGGGCAGGGAGTGACCTCTCCAGGGTTTTCTGGGTGTCTGTGGGATCAACACCTTGGACATCTGGGCTGATCTTTGCATATCTTCCGTGGGGAAGAGGTGTGGGCTTGGCTATGCCAACCCCTTGGTGGTGGGCACAGGACTTGTGGTCCCACAGAGGGTTTCCAGCACACCTGGAGCTCCTGAGGAGCACTTGCAGTGATGATTTCATCCTCAAATGTCTTTTGGAAACAACAATTCCTGGCCAGCAAAGGGAAACCTGTGTGTGATCCTGCAGGGCTGAGTTACTTTAGAGCCTGGCAAGTGTCCAAGGATGCACAGCAACACCAAGGCAAGCTTTTCCCCTTTTCCAAATCATGGAATCCTAGAATGCTTTGGTTTGGAAAGAACGTTAAATCTCAGCTTGTTCCAGCTTGTTCCAACTTCCACTATCCCAGGTGGCTCCTGTCCAAGCTGGCCTTGGACGTTTCCAGGGATCCAGGGGCAGCCACAGTTCTCTGGACAAGCTGTGCCAGTGCCTGTTTTTCCAGGTTTCTGATGATTTTCAGATTTCCTGTCGGGCACTGAGGGTTTTGTGGAGTGAGTGGAGCGTGGAGGATGCTCCAGGCACCCACAGGGCAGGAGAGCAGAGCAGAGTGTGCAGGGAGCCCCTCAGCTTGGGGGGACAGCAGGGGGACACTGCCAGCACCCCGAGCTCCCCGGGGTGACACAATGAACCCCCCAGCCCCTTTTTGGGGGCCCAAAAAGCGACTGCAAAAACTGTCATGCAAAGCCTGCCGCGTGGCAGCCCCGCATGCTGCTCCCGCCTGGCCTCCTCCATCCTTTTCTTTGCTTGCTTCTGGCAGCGGGGCGGGGGCAGAGATCATTCCCCAAACGTTTCAAAAGCCTCATCCGAAGCCTGGGGGGTTTGGGGATGATCTGCCCGTGGAGTCAGGCTGGGGGCACGGTGGGCAGCGGGGTGTGGTGTCTGGCAGGTGCCAAGGGGGCTGTGTGCTCTGTTGCAGGCTCGTCGCGGGGCCCCAGCCCCCTGACCATGGGGGCACAGGACACCCTGCCCGTGGCCGCCGCCTTCACCGAAACCGTCAACGCGTACTTCAAAGGGGCTGACCCCAACAAGTAGGTGCTGGCCCCCGGGGGGTCCCTGCCACGGGGGGATGAGGAGGGGGACTGGTCCAGGGGGTTTCTAGATGCTTCTGTCCCATCTGGGTCAGCAGAAACTGATGCCTTGTGCAGGCTGCCCTGGAGCAGAGCTCCAGAACAAAGCAGGGATTGATTCCAAGGATCTCCTCCATGGATCCACCTCGGGCAGCAGCAGAGCCCAGCCAGGGCTGCCCCCAGGATGAACCCAAATGGCCCCAAAATGCACGAGCGCTGCCGGGGTCTCTCCCTGGGCTCAGCTCTGCTCCATGTGCACATTGCAGTGCAGTGTCCAATCCCACTGCAGCCCCTGCAGTCCCACCCTGCTTGTTTTTCTCTCTGCAGCCCACGGGCTTTGTGCTCCTGGCCTGGGATTGGGATCATTTGTCCTTGGTGCCCAGCTGGAGCAGGAATTGTTTTGTGTCCCTGCTCTGTGCAGAGCTCCCCATCCCCTCGTGTGAAGCCCAGCCCCACACACTAAAGCAGCTCAGAGTCTGAAAACAGAAAACCCAAACCTGAGGCATCAGGACAGGAGGTGATGTGGCCTGGGGTGTCCAGGGGCAGGACACTGCTGCAGTGCCCCGTTTCAAAATGTTTCTGCCGTGGGAAAGGGAGGTGAGGAGTTTGTGTGAGGAATCTCAGAGAGCAGCACAGCAAGGGTGGCAGGGGGGCTGCAGCCTTTCCCACCCATGCCTGGACAAAATGGGATGGCATTCCTACAGAAACTTGGAGGGTTTCCCCACCTGTGTTTTAAGACCCTCTAATAGATAAAACCCAAAAGGGCAGACCAAAGACAAATTAATTTCACTGAAATACCGAATGACAGCAAAAATAACAAGCTTCAAACAGGGTTTATTTAAGAAGCTCCCTGTCAGCCCTTGTGCTGTTTCTGCTCCCTCTGGGGCCCCCAGAGGCTCGGGTGTGTCGGGTGGGGAAGGGGGCACTGTCCCCACACCACGCGCGGTGCCAGCCCTCCCTCGCTGCTGCATTTTGAGCCCCCTTTGCTCCCCCTGGCTCTCTGTGCCGGGCGCTGCAGGTGCATCGTGAAGATCACGGGGGAGATGGTGCTGTCCTTCCCGGCGGGCATCACCCGACACTTTGCCAACAACCCCGCCCCAGCCGTGCTCACCTTCCGCGTGCTCAACTTCAACAGGCTGGAGCACGTCCTGCCAAACCCCCAGCTCCTCTGCTGGTAAGCCCTTCCCCAGCAGCATCCCAGGGAAGGCAGGATTCCGGGAAAAGGGGGTGTTTGCAAAACTATATGGCCTGAAGTGCCTTCCTTGGAAGCACGCGCTGATTTTGGGAGTGAAACTCTCAAATGCTCAAATACTTGATGAAATCCCAGAATGGTTTGGGGTGATAGATCATCAGGATTATCCTGATATCAGGATTATCCCATGGGTAGGGACACCTCCCACTGTCCCAGGCTGCTCCAGCCCAGGCTGCTCCAGCCTGGCCCTGGGCACTGCCAGGGATCCAGGGGCAGCGCAGAACCCCCCTTTGCTGCTGCCCACCCTGGGGGATCAGCCCAGGACTTGGGGGGTTCTGAATCCCAGTGCAGATGGATCAGGACAAGCCAGAGCTGGGTGGGAGGGAGCCAGTGTTCCTCTGGAGGTGGGATGGACTGCAGTCCCTGTGCTGTGTAGAACAGCTCTGTCCTGCCCAGGCAGGTTATCCAAAGGGTTCCTTCTCCTCTGTGCAGTGACAACGTGCAGAGTGACTCCAACTCCAAGGAGTTCTGGGTCAACATGCCAAATCTGATGACTCACCTAAAGAAGGTATCGGAGCAGAAACCTCAAGCCACCTATTACAATGTGGATATGCTCAAATACCAGGTAGGGGTTTTTTTTGTGAGATAAAACTGTGCCCAAAAAAAAATAAATAAATAGAAGTGTGCTGATTATGGCTGTAAAAAATGGGAAATGTAAAATAAAAAATGGTAAATGTAAAATAAAAAATGTAAATGTAAGAGATGGTGTTTCCCTAATGCAGAGTAGAGCTGATGTGAGGTGGGGGCTTGTTGTCCCACTGTCCCTTCTGTGTGGCACTGGGTTGTCTGGCTTTAAGCCCAGTACTAAATTCAGGGGGAATTCAAGGCCTTGCCTCCCAGTGCGATGTCCGCGTCTGTAAAACGGGATTTCTCCCTTCAGCCCTACGGAAACTAAATGTTTTTTCTGTCATTTTGGAAGGTGTCTGCCCAGGGTATTCAGTCTACTCCATTAAACCTTGCAGTGAGCTGGCGGTGTGACCCTGCAAGCACTGACCTGCGCATCGACTACAAATACAATACAGAGGCAATGACCACGCCTGTAGCTCTAAACAACGTCCAGTTCCTCGTCCCCGTCGACGGAGGAGTAACCAAACTTCAAGCTGTGCTTCCTCCTGCTGTCTGGTAGGCATTGCTCGTCCTGTCCTTGCCTGGAATCCCCATCCTGCTGCAGGAGGGTCTGTGGGTGGGAGATGGGGACATGCTGGGGACCCAGACCTGCCCTCCTCTTGTAGAAGACAATGTTTAACCCCACTCCAATTCCCTTTCTCTGCCATTCCCACAAGAAAATGGTCAGAGATGAAGGGAGATGTGCAGGCAGCAGAGCAGCAGCCCTTATGCTGTGTTTTGTCTGCTTTACCCAGGGTTTAGAGGGATGCACAGGCAGGCCCTGGCACAGGTGCCCAGAGCAGCTCCTGGATCCCAAGGCCAGGCTGGACACTGGGGCTGGAGCACCTGGGACAGTGGAAGGTGTTCCTGCCATGGCAGGGGTGGCACTGGATGAGTTTTCAGGTCCCTTCCAACCAAAGCAGTCTGGGATTCTGGGATTCATGGAAGGATACGTGGCTGTCACTGCTGTAGGCACTGGCATGTGTCTCTTGGTCACATGCAATCCTCATAAAAATCATACAATTGTTTTGTTTGGAAAAGCGCTCCAAAACTATCAAGTCTATCCATGAGCCCAGGACTTGAACTTTCACTTGCTGTGAAACCCAAATCCAAGCTCCCAGGATTGCTGCTCCAGGGAGCATCACCAGCGTAGTTCCCCACCCCACCCCCAGCCTTCAGCAAAATTCAAATTAATCCTTGGCAATTTCTTGATTCCTACAGAAATGCTCTTCTCCATGTGTTTGCAGGAATGCTGAACAGCAAAGGATATTGTGGAAGATCCCAGATATCTCCCAGAAGTCAGAAAATGGAGGTAATGCTGCAAATATGCACGTCATTAACTCGGCATCCTTCAGGCAGGCACGGAGGGTGCCGGCACACGAGCCCAGACACTCGGGTTCCTGCTGGGGCTTGCTGGGCACAAAGCTGTTTAATTTTAGAGCTCAAAAAGCAGGGCTACGTGCCACCAGCACTGCTTTGCCAACCACCCTGGCATCCCGAGGGGCATTCACACACCGGGCTGGGATGTGGTGGCGTGCCAAGTCCTCGGCTCTCCGCTACTCCGAGGCTGAGGTTGCTGTCTCCCACAGGAGCTTTTCCAGGTGGAAAGCTGCTCCTGGCGCTGGGACGTGTGAAAGCCCAATCCTGCTGGGAGGATGGGGGGTTTGGCTGGGCCCGGCGGGGATGCTGCGGGCCGAGCCGGGCCGTGCCGGGATGCTCGGAGTGCCCTCGGCGCTCACCCGGCTCTCTTCTCTGCGCTCCTGTGCAGGCGTGGGCTCGCTGCTGGCGCGGTTCCAGCTGGCCGAGGGGCCGAGCTCGCCGGCCCCGCTGGCCGTGCAGTTCACCAGCGAGGGCAGCACCCTGTCCAGCTGCGACATCGAGCTGGTGGGCGCCGGCTACCGCTTCTCCCTCATCAAGAAGAGGTTCGCGGCAGGTGGGTGCCTCAGCCGCGGCTCCCCGGTCCCGCAGGTCCCCCAGGGATGCCGGCAGGCTGGTGCTGCGTTTGCACCCTGCAGCTCCGGCAGGGGCACAGAGGGACAGCAGCTCCCCTGGGAAATAAATCCTGCTGCCACCTGCCAGCCTTGGGTTCATGGCTCATGCCCGTTCCTGCGTGGAAGGCAGGGCTGGCATCTCCAGGGCAGCTCCAGGATGAGCTTTTGCCCTGGTCCTGCAGAGAATAACGAGGATTTTTCCTCATTGCTGCAGAGAATAATGAGGATTTTACCTCGTGGCTGCAGAGAATAACAAGGATTTTTCCTCACTGCTGTAGAGAATAACAAGGATTTTTCCTCATTGCTGCAGTGAATAATGAGGATTTTTCCTTGTTGCTGCAGAGAATAACGAGGATTTTCCCGTGGGCAGGAAGGGCTGGTGGAGGTGGGCAAAAACTCCTGGGAATCAGGGCTGCTCCCTCCCCCCAGCTGATTTCTGATCCCGTTTCTAGGTAAATATTTGGCGGATAACTGATGGAAGCTTATGCAAGTCCATGGAAAATACTATGGAAAATACCCAAGGACTGCTGTGCGTGGAACGGGTTTTAATTACAGTTTAAGGAAAATGAACTAAATCCTGCACTCGGGACATTTCTGTTGGAAGTGTCGACAACTTTCAGCATTTTTTTTCCTTGGAAAACACCGTCTTGACCAGTCCTCCAGTATTTACTTCTAGATGTAACATTGTTAATGGTTTTAAAATGTAATTATTGTATTTGTAAATTGTACTCATTCCAGTAAGGCTGTATTTTGGCAGTTAGACACTTGAGTTTTAGCATTTTACCATTCATGAAATGGATGTAATTTAAACTGTGGTATATAAATCTAATAGTAGTACTGTTGAATGGCACAATGCTTACAGAGGTAGATTGCATTTTGTCAATATATACAATTTAAATACGATACTGGTAGCTGTTATGAAGGGGGTGCCTCATCAAAAGAGAGTTCAGTAGGGCCCACAGGCTGATTTAATTTTCCTTCAGTCCTTAGTACGTCTCACAGCAATCAATAAAAACCTTCAGGTTTAGCTGGTTTAACTCCAGAAAAATATTCTTGGAAAGGTGGAGGTTCCTAGGACAGTCTCCCAGGAAGGAAATGTCACTTCTGCAGGGAGTATTGACTCCAAATTTCCAGCCCTGAGTTCTCTTACAGCTGCAGATTCCCTGTTGGGATGCCAGCAGCTCTTCCCTGCCCCGTGCCCGGGTATTTTGCAGGGCTACAGACGAGGAAAGAAGCAGCAAAGAGGCTGGGTGGTCCCTCTGAGCTCCCAGCACTGGCACAAAACGTCACTGTTGGGTTCAAGGATGTGTTTTCCGAGCTGCCTCCGGACGTTCGGTTGTGTTTTTGCGTTGCTTTGCTGTCTTTTTTCTGCCCTTCCCACCCATTTTTGAAAGCTCTACGGGTTTAGAAAACACTTTAAAGAATTGCAGCCGCACCTGCTTCTCTATTTGAGCACTCAGGCAGGAAAATGTGCATGGAAAATCACTGGGAAAGAATTCCCCAGGGAGCAGGAGCAGCACGGGGGCTGTTGATAGCAGCCAGGGCAGGAGCCCAGCTCGCCAGCATTGGGAGCAGCTGTGTTGTGGAGATGGCAAAACACATGGAAGTGCTAAACTGGAGCATGGGGGACAAAATATTATCCCTCTGTGCTTTTCCTGTCCCGCTGGGTGCTGCTCATTCCCGTGGGTCTCAGTCTCATGCCACTCCTGGCAGCATGGTGAGAGCGTTGGTGGCATTCACAGTGCTGCAGCTGCTGAGCTGGGCTTGTGAAACAGCAGAATTCGGCAATTTCGGGAAGAAAAATGAGGGAATCTTTGTGAAATTAAACACAGAGGCACAGAGGAGCATCCGTGAATGGGGTGCTGGGACTTTGGGAATGTGTGAGGTGACAAAAAGTGCTGGTTTTCCAAGTGTTGCTAGGGTTAGAGTGGTGCATTTACACTGGAAAACAGCCTGGGCATGTTGGGAAGTGCTTGCTCGTGGAGCAGTTTGATGAAGGAAAACAGAGCTCTGTGCCCATCTTGAGAGAAAAGAAGGAAATGTGGGGATATTTCAGGTGTGAGGTGGCTCCCAGGCTGAGACGGGGGGGTGAGCTGTGTGTGAGCTGACAGAAGGCAGCAGCAGGAAAGGAAAAGCACAATTCACTCCTGCAGCTTCCCACATCCTCACAGACTTTGGGAGCGCACTCCCCAGTGTTCCACTCCATGAATGATTTCCCCCCTGAACTGGTTATTTGTATAAAGTGTGCAGCTCAGCCCTTTCTGACACAGAAATATAGGGCAAACCCTAAGAATCAGGTTTAGCAATTGTACAATTGCTCCACACCTATCCTTCCAAAAGAGATCTACAGTATAGACCTGAAAAAAAAAAGGATTTATATTGTAAATATTACCAGAACATAGAGATTTTACTTTATATTTCATTTGAAAGACAAGGTGTTTACATTAGCATTGGGTTTTTGAGTGCTTTTTAAACAGAAAAACCCATAACCCAAAGCTCCCAAGCTCATCCTGTTTGAGCTGGCGAACAAAACAGAGGTCACTTTTTGGGGACGCAGCCCTCATGACCTGGAGAGAGAGATGGGAACAGCCTGGGACATTTTGTCCTATTTCTGGGACATGTGGGATGTGGCAGCACTCCCAGCCCCACAGGGACAGTCCCAGCTCCAGCACTGGCAGGTGGCACCAACCCTGTGGCACTGGGACCAAAAGCAGCGATTTGGGACAGGTTTTTCCACAGTGCTTCTGCCAGTTTTTGGCACACGGTTTTCTCAGAGTGCCCCGGGGTTTGTTGGGAATTTGGTGAGAGCACCTGGCTCCAGAGCCCTGTAGTGCTCAGGGCATTCAAGCTCTGCAGGCTTCACCTTGGGTTTGAGGTAGGAAAATCTGTGTATTTTCAGGGATTGCACCTGTTTGGGGTGGCCTGCCCCCTCACAGAGAGCAGGGAGGTGAAATGGCACTGATTTGGTTCCATACAGATCCCAGACTGGTTTGGCTGGGAAGGGATCTTAAAAATGATCCTGTTCCTCCCCTGCCATGGCAGAGACACCTTCCACCGTCCCAGGCTGCTCCAGCCTGGCCTTGGGCACTGCCAGGGATCCAGGGGCAGCCACAGCTGCTCTGGCAATTCCATCCCCCCCCCTGCCCACCCTGCCAGGAACAATTCCCAATTCCCAATCTCCCATCCATGGCTGCCCTCTGGCAGTGGCACCCATTCCCTGTGTGCTGTCCCTCCATCCTTGTCCCCAGTCCCTCTGCAGCTCTCCTGGAGCCCCTCCAGGCCCTGCCAGGGGCTCTGAGCTCTCTCTGGATCCTTCTCCTCTCCCAGCTCTCCCAGCCTTGGAGCATTCCCAGAGGAAAGCAGCACGGCTCTGTTTCCCAGCAGGGCTTTTCCCAAGCCAGGCTGAGGCTGGAGAGGGGGATCAGCCCTCTGGAACTGCCCAGCCCTGGCACCCCTGAGCTCAGCAGCACCGGGATCCATCTCGGTGGGCAGAAGGATAAATAAAGGAGGCATTCAGTCATAAATATGTGAATGCATGCACAGAAAGGCTCCAGCTCCATTCCTTCCATTTCCCTTCAGACTCTGTCCTTAGCAACCTCTCCCTAAGGAATTTTCCCCTGGGAATTTGGCAGCCCACACCTGCAGAGTCAAAGTCCCACTGGCAGAGCAGGAGAGTTTTCCGCATGGACACCTTCAGACTTGGAATCCTACATGGCAGGAGCAGGAAGTCATCTTTTACCATCTTTCTGCAGTTTGGTGCAAACAGCCACAATTCTCAGCCAGCTCACGGTGCTCCTCACAGGAGACCTTTCCGAGCAGTTTTCTACTTTAACAATATTTCTTAATAACTCTGAAATCTCCCAATAGTAGGAAAACCCACCAAATAACGAGCTTTTTGTTTGGTGTCTGCATTTGTTCTTAAATATTACTGCCCTGTTTACATCTTCTTGGTTTTGGTGGCATTCGGTATTCCACTGAAATTAATTTGTTGTCACTCTGCTCTTTCAGGTTCTATCTATCATTTTTTAAAACATAAGTGGGAAAAACCTGAAAGTTTCTTCTGGAATGCTCTCCCCTTTTAGCCAGGCAGAGCGGGGATGGGAAGGGAAGGCACAGCCCCCCTGCCACCCTTCCCAGGCTGCTCCCTGAGATCCCTCCAGCAGGAGCATCCTAAAAAAAGGGTCACCACCTCTTTCCCCCAGCAGCAGCATTTTTCAATGGCTGGAGTGCACTGAAAAGGTGACAGATTTTTAATTTACCTAAGAGAGAGTCAAACTTTTTTCCCCTACCCTTTTGTGGTTTTTATGTGAAAACGTCTTGGTTAAAACCCCTAATTTTGAAGCTAGTCATGACCAAAATACGTAAAGCCATCCTGTTGTACTTTCCAGGCTAGAAATTACTGTCTCAAAGATTTCATTTCATAGCCAGTATGCTTCTGTTCCTCTTTTCCTCACGATTTCCCAAGGAAATGAATCCGTGCAGAGCCAGGGAGGTTTTATGATAATCAGGATTATTCCAGTGAGGATTTTAATTCTTCTTTCACTGCAAGGCAAGGAAAAGATTTGCAGGAATACGCCCTGCTCCTGCTTGGCTTCCCTTGTCCCTTTAGGAAGGATGGTGCTGGCAGTGGTTCTTGGAACCACAAATTGTTGGTGGTGATGCTCTCAAAGGCTTGGGGACAAGCAGGATCTGGGGAACACACCAGACCCCAGCGAGGCTTTGGGGATGCCTTGTCCATCCGTTAGAAATTCGGGTTTTCTGGGACAGCGGGAATCGCTGTGGATGTGCTGTCCCCGTGTTGGGTTCCTCATCCGTGCAGGAAGGGGTTTTTCACTCCCAAACGTTCCAAGGTTGATGAAATCCCCTGGATGCTTGGGTGACATGAAACAAACGGAGATGTGGTGTGGTTTGAGCCAGGATCTGAGTTGGGATGTGCCAGGAAGCTCCCAGGGCTGGTGGGAGGAGAGCCCAGGATGTGGGACAACCCCACTGTGACACCCCTGCAGTGAATCAGATATCCCCAGGTATCACCCTGGACCACTTAATGAACTCCCTCGTGTATAAAATGTTTATAAATATTTGTGGATGAAGATACACAGGTCTATTTTTAAGATTTAAGTTAAATAAGTTAATGAATGGCTGGACTTTTCTGCCTAAACGTGCAATGAGATATATTATACCTTTAGTCTACGATGGCCTAGGTACTGCTTAGTCTGTGATGAAAACTTTGCTGCTTTCCTACTGTTCTCAGAGAAAAAAGAAAAAAAAACAACCTATAAAAGACGTACAGGTTTGTTGCACAGGGACTACTGCAGCGAAGCTTTGTATTTGACCACTGGTAATATGAATGTGTTGTATTGACTTGTTGAAGATAATCATGAAACAACATATTTTAAATGTTACTTGCCTTATAGATTAGAGTACGACTATGTGGATATCATTTTTTGTAAATACTGTTTTTTATAAATGTCTCTCCTCCATCCTCCCCGTCACCAATTTCACCGACTCTCAAATATGCAATTATTTACCATGCAGAGCGTTGTGACAAAGAAATCCCCACGTCAGAACAAAGTTTATTCATTCTATACATAAGAACCACATGAAATACCCAACTGAGTTGCAATTTAAATGTGATTATTATTATTTTTTTCCTTGAAAATAAACAAAAAAATGTAAAACATCTCTTTTTCTGAGTCAGTTTTGCTTCCATGTGCAGGAGCACCCAGAGGAGTGGGCAGAGGGATCGAAGGCCAGCCCAAAAAAGGGTCCCTGTCCCAAAACCCATCATTGCTGCTGGAGTTAGGTGCAGTGTCCCAGCATGGGGACAGGTCGAGGGTGGCATGTGGGGACCCATGAGGATCCAGAGGGACCGTGGGGATGGATGGAGCCCGAGGGAATGGGGCTGTGGGGACATGAGGAATATGGGGTTGGGGGACCTGTGGAGGCCATGGGGACACTCCAGGGCTGTGGGGACATGAGGAATATGGGGTTGGGGGACCTGTGGAGGCCATGGGGACACTCCAGCGCTGTGGGGACACGCGGTCTGTGAGGATCCACAGGGATCACAGGAGTCTGTGTGGGCTATAGGGACCCATGGGTGCCATAGGGGGCCACAGGGACATTTGGGGGAGCTGTGGGAACCGGTGGGGACCATGGGGACCTGAGGAGGTCACAGGGACCCTCAGGAGCCTTGAGAACATAAAGGAGCTGTGGGGACATGTGGGGACATCTGGAGGCCATGGGGCCACGTGGAATCTTTAGGTTTATGTGGGGACATGTGGGAGCTGTAGGGACGTGTGGAAATTATGGGACCATGCAGGGACCTGTGGAAGCCTTGGGGACACAGAGGGACCTGGGGAAGCCATGGGGACTTGTGGAAGCCATGGGGACACAGAGGGACCTGGGGAAGCTATAGGGATATGTGGGAGCCATGGAAACATCTGGGGACTGTAAAGGAACCCAGAGACCTGTGGAAAACATGGGGACATGCGGGAGTCATGGAAACCTGTGGGGACACCCAGGGAGCTGTGGGGACACCGGGGACTGTAGGAATATGTGGAAGCCATGGTGACACACAGAGACCGGTGGAAAATATGGGGAGCCGCAGGAACTCAGAGCCGTGAGGGTGGGAATGGCGGGGGCCGGGAACGCGGGGGATACGAGGCGGGGAACGGGAATGCGGAGGGATTGAGGCCGGGAACGTGAGGGGATGGAGGCCGGGAACGTGAGGGGATGGAGGCGGGGAACCGGAATACGGAGGGATGGAGGCCGGGAACGGGAATACGGAGGGATGGAGGCGGGGAACGGGAATACGGAGTGATGGAGGCCGGGAATACGGAGGGATGGAGGCGGGGAACGGGAATGCGGCGGGCGGGCCCCGCTGCCGGCGCCGCCTCCCCTCACAGCTGAGGGCAATGGAGGGCCGTGAATCCCCCGCCGAGCCCGGCTCGGGTGGGTGTCGATTGCCCCTCTAAAACCCTCCAGCGCTGCGATTTTTCCCTCATAAACTCGAGCTTTGCCTCGCAGGGCCTGCCCGGCGCTTCCCGGTGGCGGCGGTGGAGGCGATCCTGAGGGATGTGGTGGGGAGCGCCCTGAGGGAGCGGCGCTACGAGCCGGGGCCGTGCCGGGAGGCGGCCAAGGACATCGCCGAGGTGGGACGGGGTCGGGACACTTGTCCTCGTGCCTCCGTGGGGTGCCCAAATATCCCCCCAAAATGCCGATTAAAAGTGTAAGATGAAGGCTGGAGGCGGCTGTCGGGATGCCTGCAGGGGTTGCTCGGGGGAGGGTGCAGATTTACAGGCTGGTTTGGGTGGGGAGGGACCTTAAAGCTCATCCAGCCTCAGGGACACCTTCCCCTGTCCCAGGTGCTCCAGCCCCAGTGTCCAGCCTGGCCTTGGGCACTGCCAGGGATCCAGGGGCAGGAATAGCTGCTCTGGGCATCTGTGCCAGGGCCTGTCCACCCTGCCAGGCACAATTCCTAATTCCCAATCTCCCATCCAGCCTGCCCTCTTGTCAGTTCATTACCATCCCCCTTGCCCTGCTGTAGATCCATCCCCATGTTTGAAGACGTGTGAACTGACTCTGTTTCTCTCCGCAGGCCGTTAAGGCGCGGGTCAAAGCGCTGGTGGTGCCCAGGTACAAGGTCGTGGTGGTGGCACACGTTGGGCAGCTGGGTGGGCAGAGCCTGCAGATCAGCAGCAGGTGCCTCTGGGACCCCGACAGCGACACGTTCTCCTCCTATGTGTTCAAGAACACCTCGCTGTTTGCTGTGGCAAATGTCTATGGTGTGTATTTTGAATAGGGAGGTAGTCGAGTTTAACAGCAGGAGAAATTAATATTCAGCCTAACTCTTCCTGGCTCTGTTGTTGAAAATATCTGTGAAGGACCGAGGTGCTCTCACCTGTTTTGAAGTGTGAGCCTTTGGGTGAGTGGAAGAAGGGTCTTTCCCAGAGTTTTGTCTGGGAAGTGGCTTACTATGACATAGTTTGGCAGCTGATTGCTGCTTGCAGAACTTGCTCTGTAGGGGAAATATTGTCAGAATATTGTCTGGAAGTAATGTTTTCCCTGTTCTCCTCCAGAAGTATTTGGATTAGGGAATAAACCATGGGTTTTGCCTGCCCACTTTTGGGGCTGGTACTGATGGTCCTAAGTCTCTCCTGGTGCACCCATTTCCCACCAAAGTGGGGTCTGGCTCACCTTGCTCTGAATCTGAAACCAGGCTTTTTGCTACTCCTATTTCCCAGCTGAAACCTGCTGTTAAGATTGCTAGAGTCAGAGAACAAACCTATCACAAGCTGCTTATTTTATTACATTTTAGGTGCAAAGCTGAAACCAGAACAGTAGTTAGTTGGGAAGAAATACTTAATGTGCTCATGACTAAAAGTTTAACCTTCTGTAAACACTGTGAAACGCAGACAACCCGAAACCACTTTCTGGTGCACTGTGACGTTTAACACCCAAAAGCTACAATTAAAGAACACAACTGGAAGGACTGTGGTTTATGTCATGATTATTTTAATCCCTGGCAGGCGTGCCCCCGAGCTGCTGCGTTTCAGCACAGGGAGCTGATCTCTGTCCTGCTGCAGCCCACGTTGCAGCAGGATGTGGCGAGCAGCGCGGCCGCCTCACGCTTGTTGAGCACAGGAACTTTGCCGGTGTTTTGCAAGCCTTGCTCAGGTTTGACGTCCTGGGGTTCTTCTCTGTGGATCCCTAGCCTTGGCTCTGGGTGTGCTGAGAAGTCAGCGTCACCCTCGTCCTCGTGTGGGAAATGCTGGGGGTTTTCACTCTCTGTCGCAGGAAAATGAGAAGGTAAACGTTAAAAGTCGTGGGAAGATGAGTAATTTATGTTTTTTATCTTTACTAGAAAGACACCAAGCTACAGCTAGGGAGCTGAGTGTTGCCCTCTGATATGGGCACCACATCACAGACTCCTCACTGTGAGAAACAGTCCATGATCAACATGGTAAAACTGAGGACTTCAGGGATTTATACTGAAGAGTCCTGTGGTGCCTTGAGTCTTACACTGATGTATTTTCTTCTCCAGGAAAAGCTGTGATTTGGTGTGTCAGAGGCTCTTGCCCAGCACGTTCAGCTGGACCTGGGGGTCGCTGAATTTTAGATGTTGCATTAAGGCATCAGCTACCCCAGATTCTGGGTGTTCCCACAGAAATGGCAGTCCAGCTGCAGCTGGAGCACTCACCTCAGCTGGGCCTTGTGCAGTCTGTAAAGGTGTAGCAATTCTCAATTTTTAAAAGCAAGATTCTTCAACAGATTTTGGGGAGGGAGTTGCCCATGCTACCACTTTTATATTTGTTTAAAGCTGCTGCTGCAAGAGAATTTTCCAAAAGTGCAGATGTGGGCAGTGCAGAAAGCCTCTGTTGCTGTCATCTGCCTCTGTTATTTTCTTGCTCCCTATTTATTTTGATGAGAGTACAGATTTCTAGCTGTGCATGTTATGGTTGCATTTTGTGACTATCATATCAAATCTTGTGAGTATCAAGAAATACGTTAGTAAGTATAAATATACACAAAAGCATGTGAAGGTGCTTAAATTGCAGAGCAGATATTCAACATGCTTCAATGAAAGTGTTTTATAAAATTTCTGGTTTTAGTGGGGAGAGTGAGGACCACAGCAAGACACTTGCACTAACTTCAGCAAAACTTGTCACCGAAATGAGATAGCAAAGAGATTTTCAGTGATAGCCTTGCCTTGGATCCTGTTCCTCAGGTGAGCTTGGCAAATCTTGGTCTGAATTACTTTTCTTGAGCAAAACAGCCCAGGAAGCTGAGCCAGACAAGCTGCGGGGAGAGGGAACACGAGCGCAGCCGTGCTGGGGGCTTGGAGCTGCAGGGCTCGAGGGGAGCAGGGGCTGTGCTGCCTCCCGGCCCCCAGGATGCCCTGGCATGCCCAGGATGCCCTGGGATGCCCTGGCATGCCCAGGATGCCCGGGATCCCGCTGGATGGGGGTGCCCTGGCCGTACTCACCCCGCAGGTCGCGGTGCCTTCTCCAGCGCGAGCCGCCGCACGTGAACACCACGGCCCTGATGAAGTCTCTCCCGCAGAGCCTCACCTTGTTCCCTTCCCCTCTCCCTTCCCGTGCCAGCAGCAGGAGAACGAGGCAGCCCAGTGCCAGCAGCGTGCCCCTCATGGTGCCAGCGTGGTGCTTCCCAGCTGGGTGTGGGCAGGGCAGAAGGGATGAAGTGGGGAATTCTGCTGGAGCCTTCCCATTTATACCGGCGGTCTGTCCACTCCACTGGGTAACAGCTCGCTCTGAGGGTGGCAGTGTTTGCTAAAAACAAATAAACTGCTTGTTTCTGGTCATGTTTGAAGTGCTTCGGGACCTCAGTCAGGTATGAAAGATTTCTGAAGTCTGCGTAGCTGCTTTACTGGGAACACCTGAGGTGTGACCGTTTATGGGGTATGGCTTACGTGGATGCAGTCAGTGTGTGTTCTGCCAGAGCAAAAAGGTGTTTGCCCTCAGTGGGTTTGGTGCCTGTGCTCCCCACACAGCCTGATGCCCAGTCCTGACTGGGATCCTTTTGTGTTGGTGGTCCCAAAGGAAAATGGAATGAACTCCTCCCCATGATGTCTGTATTGTGCCCCTCTTCATTCCCCACCTTGGTCACTTGTGGGGAAACTCTGCCAGTGCCAAGCACTGCTGAGAAAATCCACTCCAGAGGGGTTTGTGCCATATATTGGTATCCCAGCCAGGATTCCCAGTGTGCCAAGAGGCAGGACATGATCCTGCAGCACATGGAGCTGAGTCTATGCTCTGGGAGCAGAGCTTGGTTCTGAATTATTGGTTCCTAATGTTGGCTTCAGTGTATTTACGTTTCTATAAAAAATCCTTGCAATAAAATGCCTCTAGGAGGAAATTTCTGAGTTATATGGTCAGAAATTCCATGTTTAAGGACAAAATACATGAGGAACTTTGGAGATCTTGAGCCCTTCCTAGCACCACAAGGATTTTCCAGCACCATAAAGTTCCAGGTAATTGATTTTCACTGTGTGCAGGGTGGGTTATGATGTGTTACAGAAAGCTTGTTTTTTAGCAGTAAGCAAACAGTCATGGGCATGGATGGAAAATACAGGGTGTATTTTGTTCAGATTTATAACAATGATTAACAAATGATTCACCTTAACGAGTGTCTTTCCTTGAAACACACCAAGATGAATTTTATGTCGGGGGGAAGTTTGCATGTCCCCTGTCAGGTGTGCAGCACACAGAAGGAAGTGGATGCTAATGCAGCACAAATGATCCTTAATTCAGTGATGTGTTTGAGTGCTGGGTGTTTATTGTCAGGATAATGAGAGAGGCTGCATGTTCTGCATCTATAAAATACAACTTTCCATACGTAATGTGCTTGGCAGCAGGGCTACGGCTTGTGCTTAATCACCCCTCTGGAGATGCTCCCTGTTTCCTGTGGGCAGGAAGTGCCTGGAAATCACCCAGCTGGGTATTTTTTTCTGTTTCTTCTGCTTTGCCCCCCAGAAAAGCCAGCCTAGGCAGCCAAACACTGCCTGCTTTCAACCCAAGGAGGAAAGACTTTGGGGGAAAAGCAGAAAGGGATAAAGGCCTGAGGAGAAAACACTGTGGAGACCTTTCCAAGATCAGGATTCCAGAGAAGGCCACCCATGCACGAGCACTGATGGTGCAATGAGGGGACTTCCAGGAGGAAATTGAGGCCATTTGAAAGAAGTTTCCAAGCAGTGTGGCTTCAAAGAGAAACTTTATTGATGAAGAGAGATAACCAGTTTATGTTTACACCACAGCATTTCCTGAAGGAGAAGGGATATCAGCTACTGCTAAACAGCTCCAGCAGAAGCAACAATGTCATACAAGGAGCCAGCCTGGAAAACAAAAGGAAAAAGAGCTGATTGTTCTGTGGAATTCTGTTAATGCTGGAAAACAGCACTTTTTGGCAGGCCAGGTTGGGTGGCATTTGTGCTGTCCTATTTGGCAGCACGCAAACATTTATCTTGTTTATAAAGGAAATTAATTTCCAGTGGTGTGGCAGCAGAAGAGCAGGAACCACCACCTTTTAAGCCGGTGCTGGAATTGTGATCCCACCTATTGCAGTATTGCCTAGCTGGGTGTTTCCCAGCTGGGAAGGAGCACAGCCATACCTGGTCGGTGCTGGGGACAGCCAGGCTGTGCAGCTGCCACACCCCCACCTGGCCACAGCTGTCCCCCAGGAGCAGGCACTCGGCGTTCCTGGCAAACAGGAGGGAGCTGAGGTTCCCTTCAGGGCTGGCAGCACAGGAGAGCACGGGGTCGAAGCTGCAACCCAAGAGTTAATGGGTACCATGCATCTGTCAGCTGAAAGGCTGCACGTTTCACTTTCTGTGTTCTAGCTTATCTCGGATACTGGGAAGTGAGGCAGTGCTTGGTTTGGGCTCTGCCTGCAGAAAAATCCCAGCTGCTGTTAACTAAGATATCCTACTTGCCTCAAATCTGTCCTAACCTGGAGAGTGGTGGTTAATATTTTTATAGATGAGTAATTTGCAGTTTGTGGCAGGGCTCTGGATCCACCAGGGCTTCACACTGTCAGTAACACAAAACCCAGAGCAGCTGGACAAGGTCACAGGTAACTGAGTCATCTCAATTTCAGACCATCCAATCTTTATCAAAGTAGCTCAGGTTTGCTATTTTTCCTTCTAACTGTGCCACAATTTCTGCACAGAAAGGGCAGTTTTACACTTTATCAGCTCCAGGGGGCATCCAGCTCCTTCTCTTCTCACCCCATATCTCTGTAACCACCATCTGCTTTTACACAACAAATATTTCAAAATGCAATGGTTTGAGCAATAATGATCTGATAAAAACACTGATGAGGTAACAATGTGTGACAATCAAATTTCAGACTCTTCCTTGAGAAGAGTAGTTACTCACATGCTGACACTCAGATCCCAAATCTCCACCCTCTTCTCATTCACTGCTGCGAAGATGAGGGCTGATTTTGGAGCCCACTTGATGTCGTGAACAGAAGCTGTGACAGAAGTGAAGGTTAAAAGGGGGGTGTGGGAATGCCGGTGCCACAAAAGGATGCTCCAGTCTGCAGAGCAGCTGAGGAACATGTCTGTGCTGGAGGGGTTCCAGGCGACTTTGTACACAGGGCCCTGTTTGGAGAGAAACAAACAGAACTTGGTGTTGCTGCAGAGCTACAGGATCTCCTCTAGAGCTACCCAGCCTTCCTCCCACAGGTAAGACTAACTCTACAGGACAATCAGATTTCTGATTGCTGTCTTAAAATAAAGCCAGAGCTAAAGCTTTAAAACAGTTTATAGTACCAGTTTTAATAAATTACTTGAAAAAATCCTGACAGCACAGAAAATAATCCTATAAGACCGTGATGCTTTATGCTATGGGAATTCACTCCTAATATAAGAGAAGTAGTTTAGGTTTCTTTTGTTGCAGATGTTGACTAAATATAAGCAAAGATTACATTTTGGAGTTGAGCAGTTCCTGCTGTCCTTGTTTCCAGCGTCACTCACCTGATGGCCTCTGTATGTGCCCAGAATCTGCTCCTTGCCTGAGCAAGAGCAGCAGTAGATGTGGCCCTCTTCTGTTCCAGCAAGAAAAATGTCAGTATCCTGAAAGAAAGGGAAAAGTAGCCTAGGTTGGATGAATTTATCGCTCCTGCAGAAATCATCCAGGGCTGGAGGAGTTCAGCTCCCAGGAGGAGCTCCTGTGGGTGGTGGGGAAAGTGGAACCACAACGTTGCTCATTTGCTGGGTGTGTTCTCCACCAATGCACAACGTGCTGGGGTTTGACTCCTGAAAAGCTTGGATTTTCAGCAGTCCATGTGGAAAATGCATTAATTCTTTGAGTGCTTTGTGGAGGAAGGACTCAGCTGGATGAAGAGAAGCTCAGCTGAGTCCTGGATGTGGGAGGTGTTGGAAAAATTCTCCCAGCCCTGGCCATCATGCAGAGGGAAATGGCCCTGAGGCTTGCCCAAGGAAATGTGAGTAATGTGGCTGGGATGATGCCTGAAGTTTGAGCTTATTTACCTATAAATCCATTTGCCACAATTCTGTATTGCTTTGGTGCACAACTCTGCACTTCATATAAATGTTAGCAAGTTCTCCTCACAGCTCAGGTGGCCCTGATGCTTGCCCAAGGAAATGTGAGTTACATGGCTGGGAGTGATCCCTGAAGTTTGAGCTTATTTACCTATAAATCCATTTGCCACAATTCTGTATTGCTTTGGTGCACAACTCTGCACTTCATATAAATGTTAGCAAGTTCTCCTCACAGCTCAGTCCCACAGAACAATCCTTTTCCAGCCCAGAACCGAGGACACCGCTGCAGCTCCAGCCCAAGAAGTGCAAACAACAGGGAATGGAGGAGGGCAACCTGGGAGGGTGGGACTGCATCACCTGGGGCTGGAATTGGGCAATGAGCCCCAGTGTGGGAATGGACCAAAAAAGTGTGGTCCATTTCCATATTGGGGTTAAAAAAGTGGGGTTATAAAAGTGTGAGAACTTGTGACTCAGGCTCCATCTTGGGTGGAGCCACAGCCAGGCTCTTGCACTGGCCAAGGTGTATCCTTTGGGGCCTTTTAATAAATCCCTACTTTATCCTTTAACACTGCCCAGCCTCTGTTCCAGGCATCCTCTAGGCATCAGGAGGACAGGGCTTGTTTCACCATTTCACTCATTTGGGGTAAACCTTAGTAGCTAAAAAGCAATTTATTTCAAAATTAATATGCTTTAAATAGCAGTGCCAAGTCCTGGGCAGCTCCCATTAAAGCAGCTCCAGCTGAACATCCCACCTCTGCTGCAGAGTTTCCCTGGCTAATACTTGAGCCAGGGTGGGCTTTCTGAGCCTACCTCTGGATGGAAGTCGAAGCACATTCCAGCTGCCTGCTGTGATATGGGACCTTCACTTTTCCTTTCTCTCTCACCTGGTAATTTTTTCTTCCCACTTTCTGTTCGCTTGATTTGCATCACATCTGTGCAAAGAGCAGGAGGTTTTGTCAAACAGGAGTGAGGAGCTCGTGCTGCTCTGGGATGCCCAGCAGCTCTGAGGTGTTTTGTGGGATAACTGGTGTAAAGAATGCCAGCTGGAGTCAGGGAGAGCAGTTTCAGGGGCTCACCAGAGCAATCCAGCCTTTGCTGAATGAACCACTGGGTCATTCGCCCATCTCCTGAGATACACATCAGTCTCTCTTCTTTGTCACCTGCTGTTGCACCTCTGTCCTGTTGCACCCACCTCAGCTGCCACACAGGACCTTTGTGCTGATTTAGGGATGCACTGGGACAAAAAAATACTTGTGGTAAATCATAGATGAGCAAAGACAAGGCAGCATACATGTTTGGAAAACAAGCTTCCACTTTGTAATGAGTGTTAAGTCAGAAATGTTTAGCTTTTCTTTTTAAAAAATGGTCTGAACATTGGTTGTTTTCTCCAGGAGAATGTTTCCTTATTAAACATGTTTGATAATCAGTTTCAGGGCACTGTTTATGTGCTGGCACCATGAAATCAGTCTGCACCTTGTAGGAGAGACCTGGGGAGCTGGCCTTAGGGCAGGTGCTTCCCTCATCACCCACCCATCCCCTCTCTCATTTTCTTCTTCATCCCTGCTCACCCCTCACTTCTGTTGATGTTCTCTCCATTTTTGACAAGAGGGATCAGAGCCCAAGCACCAAAAGCTACCCTCGCTGTATGGTAAGGATTTATTACCCAGGGCTGGCACGTCCCCGTCAGGACACGGAATATGAGTCATAAATTATAGTTTATGGGGTACAGAGCTGCTCCGAGGGTGAGGGCTGGCAGGCCCCGAGGGCAGGAGCAGCCCCAGGCTGACCTGCTGTCCAGCAGCGCGGCGTCCCCGCGGCTCCGCACGTCGTACACGGCCACGCGGCCGTCGGCCGTCCCCACGGCCAGCAGGCTGGGGCTGCCCAGGGAGAAATCCACAGCAGTGACGCCGTGCTCGCAGCGGAAAACGCGCTCCGGCCACTGCCCAGGAGAGAGCACACACACCTCTGAGCTGGGTTGGTGGCTACCTCTCTTTTCCTAGCGCTGGCCACTCTGTCTGCTGGGAAACTCAAGTGATGGTGGCCACAGGGACCAGAAATTCTGACTGGCACCATGTAGTTCTTGCTACAACTGATAAAGTTAGGGAAAAGATAAAGATATGACACTGGAAAATAAGTTAGGGGAGGCTGCTCCAAACCAAACACATAAAAATATCTATGGTGATAGCAGGGAATCATGAAAGTATTTGCTGTGGCAAAGATGCACCAAAGATTTGCCTCTGCCTGGTTTAAATTAGTCTGATGCAGTTTTAGCCAAGAGAAGTTCGTAGTAGAAATCAAACTGAAATGTTGTAATTTGTGGCAATCAGAACATTTCTACTGGGACACTTTGTAACTGAGATTTCCAAATTTTTTTTAATGGCTGGTTTTCAAAGGATTCCTTTGCAGATGGATCTGCAGAGGTGTAAATGTTACATCCAGGAAATCTCCTCTTTTACTGACAGCGTTGTGAGAAGTTAGAGTAAATAACTGTAGCTAAAAGGGAAATACAGCAGAAATTGTCCAGGGAAAAGCAGATTGCAGGAAAAGCAAACAAAAGGGCTCGTTACCATGGGGTTCTTCAGTGACCAACAGCAAGCCAGGCCTTTCTTCTGATCCCGAGAAACAAACTCCCTGTAACCGACTGCTAAGAGATCCTGCAAGCACAGAGCAACAGCAAGGCCTCAGGTCCACCTGCAGCTCAGCAGGACATTCCCAAGGCACCTTTGTGCCTGGAATAACAAAGCTTCTGTCCTGTGCAGGCGATGCATTGTTCTATAATCATATTCTAATGTGCATTATTTAATGGAGTACTTCTAATTTTCCCTCTCAGGGTTAGCTGTAAAAGGAGCTTCAGAGAGCATCTCAAACTCCTGGCTTTTTAGCTTTCCACAGTCCAGTGAATTCCCTCCATTCCTTTCCATAGGCAGAAGTAAAAACCAGCAACCTTTAGCCTTCAGCTACAGTAATTTTTCTTTTCTTGCACTGAACAAGTAGTTTGTGGAACTCACATTTTAAAAAGCAGCTGATTGTTTGCCCTGCATTCTAAGACTGAAGTCTCTAAATGTGTCCAACTTTTTAATATCTAGACATTTGGTGCACTAAAAGCATGAAATGGTCTTTATTTTCTCTCTTTTCCCCCTCACTGGGTTTCTCATCCTCAGCTGCTTTTACCTCTCTTCCATTTATTATTTTTGTTTAATAAGTGAGGTCTGGTGGGAAAACAGAGCTTTACATGACCAGACTTAGGAAGCTTTGCCTTCTGTGCTGTTATTGTGCATCTTACCCTTAAATTTGGAGCAATTCTGCTTTTTTGGGAGGTTCCTGTTAGAGACAAAGACGTGGTGTCTCAACTACTACAAATAAACTCCATCAATGATAACAAAGTTTAGCAGCAGGGGTTAAATTTCAATTTTAGAACAGACCAATGTCGATGAACATTGCTGCTCAGGTAAACTGGAGCAATTAAAGACATTCCGGGCCAATTAAAGCTGTGATGTGTAGGGAAAGATTAAAGCAGCAAGAGTGGGGGACTGGATCCACTGTGAGGTGCAGCCCAGGAGCAGGAGCTGACTGCCAGCCCCAGCTGCCTGTGGCCAGCCCAGGAAGGGTTGGTGGACTCACGGGGTTCGCTTTGTTCCAGGCCATGCTGCTCACGCTGCGGCCCCTGGTCAAATCACAGCCGTAGGACCACAGCTGCTCCAGCCTGGGGCCTGCCCCTTCTGCTGCCCTCGCATCTGCCTCGGCTGCTTCCTCCTGCTCCTCCTCATCCTTCTGCTCCTCGTCCTCCTCCACCTCAGTGGCTGGGGTAACAGCAGGTTCTAAAGTGCACAGATGTAGAATCTGAGTGGAAACATTCCACTTACCTAATTATAGGTATAATTATAGATATTTTTAATAGATGTAATTATATATATACTTGTATTTTATATTTTATATAATATAACATTATATATAATATAATATAATATATAATATATTATAATATATATAATATATATGTTATGTTATGTATTATGTCCTATGCAATATAATCTATATTATTATATATAAACCTATATTATTGTAGGTTGTACCTCACTCCAATTATTCGCACCAAAAGAAAAATTTGCCCTTTCAGCAAATATTTTGCAGGGAAAAAAAAAAAGAAAAGAAAAGAAGTGAAGATTTGAGGAATTAAGACATCCTAACTTGTAAAACTATGACTAAATTAGCTGGGGACAGAGCAGAGAGCTGGATTGGGCTGGAGTGAGCCAGGTCTGCTGCCCAGCCAAAAGTGAGGAATTTCTATGGAAAATGAGGAATTTCTGGGTGGGAAGAGGATACTGAGCAAGGAACAAACCTATGAGGACAGGAAGCTGCCGATAAACTGCGAGCTTGGGCTGGAAAATGTTCTCCATGAGAATCCTCTCCATGACAACCAAATCCTGCTGCAGCTTTGCAGAAGTTAAGATTGCTCCTGAGTGGCGTTCCTGCTCCTCGGGGCTCCTGGCAGGAGCAGCACGCTCTGCAACGGTGAGGGAGAAAGCTGGATTACAGAATCCTGGGATATTCCGAGCTGGAATGGATCCACAAGGATCCTGGAGCCCAACAGGCCCATGCTGCCTGATAAGAGATAACTGGGATAGAAATGAACATGGTAAAACTTCACACAGAAAGATCAAGGGATAAGAATTTTCCTCCATCTGCAAAAAGCAGAGAATTTAAAAAATACTTTCACTGTGGATTTTTTCTTCCTATAGTTTTCTTTTCTTATAATTTCTTTTCTTTCTTCCTACAATTTCTTTTCTTTCTCTTATAATTTCTTATAATTTTATCATCTTATCTTTTGTTATTATAATTTTCTTATCTTTTTCAGCTACTTCTGGAATTTTTCACAAAAGGTGTTTTGCTTCTACTTTTTAAAGTGAGTACCAGCAAACCTTGTCCCTGAGCGTTTATCTTTATTTAGGATAATTCCTGATGGCAGTGTGCAGAGAGGTGCAGCCCTGCCCAAGGTTCTGCAGCAAACTCTCTTGCAGGTTGCAGGCAGTGATTTTTGGGAAGTTTTCCCCACCAATCCCAGGGATGTGCCTGGTTCAGGAGGGTGAGAACAGGGAAATGGGAAATGGGCAATGTTACCTGTGGCAGAAGGGACAGCCCCAGGCTGACCCTGCTCCTCAGCTCTGGGAGACTTGCTGCTTTTCTCTGCTGGGGATTTGGGTTCTTCTGTCTCTGCAGGCTCTGTTCCTGAGGCATCCAGCGAGCTGTCCAAATCCCAGGGGGTCACCACCGTCCCTGGGAATGAGCTCCCTGTCACACAGGGCTCTTCTTTGGGTACATTACTGCAGGGAGCTCCTACAGCCCAGCTCTGCTTCCACAGCTCTAGATATTTGAACTGATAGCTTTCATTTAGTATTTTCATTTCATCTTTTAATTGCCATCCTTTACAAATTTACAGAAAAGGTTGCCTGTGCTTAACAGCAATCATTAAAGCAGATAAAATAACTTTAAAGCTCCTCCTGCTGTGTGACTGCTGCAGCTCCATCAGGGTTTTTTTGGGGTGTGGCTCCCCTTGAGCAGGGTCAGCTCCCACCCAAAACTTGCCTTGGTGTGCTCAGGGGCTGGAATGAGCCCTGCTGATGCCACAAAAAAGTGGCAAATAGCTTTTCAAAACAGATTATCTACTTTTGGGGTTATTCACTCATTTTACATACCCTAACACAAAGAAAAAGTGTTTGGAACAGCATTCCATGTAATTTTTTTAGCCTCTTACACACAACAATAACATTCTCTGGGAGTGTCAATAACAATTTCATTGCAATGGATTCACTGTTCCAGCACTAAATTCAAGATTTAGGAGGGGCAGAGAAGGCCACCACAACCCACACTGTCCTGCCTGAACTTAAAGCTCTGGAAGGGGAAATTGAGGGAACATCTGCTCAGAGGTGGAAGTAAAAAATGCCTTTTGTCAGTCCCCTGGCCAGGTTACCTTTCTCTGCCACGGTGATGGTCTCACACTGCACCTCCTTGGTTTTGGCAGCTCCAGAGATGGTCTGCACGATTTTTTCCTCAAAGTACTCACTGCCAATTTTAGCCTTGCAAATCTCTGTATAAATGTTATTCCTCTCCCTGGGAAACAAAGGAAACACTGCCTGGTGAGTCCCAGGGAAGTTCTGCCTGGAATTCTGTGTCTTTAACAAGGAGCTCATCAGGAGAGGTTTTTCCATGTCTTCCATGTCCTGCTTTTTGGATTGCTGGATGAAATTTCAGCCTTTGTATAATTCAGCAGCTCGTCCTGATCTTTGTGATGCTGCTCTAAAACAGGAATGGCCAGTGGAGAACGGAGCCCAGGAAAAGCAGAATTCCCTCTTGCAGCTGCCCCTGGACTTGGGGAGTTCAGAGCTGATCTCTTGGGAGAGGAAGGCAGAGCAGCAGCAGACAGAAGGGAAACCTCTCCTTTTGTGTTTCAGCTTTCCCACCACAGCCCTGGCAGCCCAAGGGGAGCTGCCTGCTGCCTTTAACTCTTCCTAATTAATAAACAATTAGAAGCTACCCACAAGAATCAGTGCAGCAGTTTGGAATGTCTTACTGCTGTTGTGAAATCAAAGGATCACCCTCCTCCACCCTGGATTCTCCTGAGCTGCCATGGTTTTGGTTGGAAGGGAGGAAGGATTGCACCCAGAACAGGAGCTGTCAGAAATGGAGTTTGGCACTCCGAGAAAAGGGTGCCAGCTGTGAAAACCACATTTACTTTCTTGTGAAATGTAAAAAGTTTATAAAGGATAGCAGGAGATAAGGAACACAGAGCAAAGATTAGGGCTGGCTGCACCTTGGCACTCGGCCAAGAGCACACCTTTTTGGTACCTTTTGAATATTTCTCCTATTACATTAGCTCGTTGTATATTCATAAATAATCACGTAAAGTAAACTTTTTCTTTAAACTAGTTTACATATTCTAAAAATTGTTTAGCATGGCTCCTCTTCAGTTCTACTTTTATATAGCACCTGGGGTTTTTGGTTGTGGTTTTAGGGTTTTTATTATAATTTTTATATTTTTTACTTATGTAATTTAAATAAATTTATTTATTTATTTATTTTTAAATTGTATTTTATTTAGTTTTATCCCTAGCCCACACTGTCTTTAGACAGTGAGTGCTGATAGTTGGTATATTGGTAGTAGCTGTCTTCGTGGTTTTTTGGATATTATTTTGTCTCCGTAGGTATTTTAACACAGGTATACTTATATCAGCCATTTCACTACTATGTCTAAGCTTAATTAACAGAAAATAAAAATAAAATAAAAACCATAAAAATAAAATAAAATTTTAAAAAAGTATTGTATCTTCATAGCAATATATAATGTATACAGCAATATATAAAAAATATAATATATTAAAATATATTATATAAATAGAATAATGATATATAAATATATATTATATAAATATATACTGCTAATATAAATATATAGCAATGTATAAAATATAATATTTCATATATAATACATATAGCAATACATATAAATAAAAACTATATATTTGAGCAAAGTTATTTTAACACTACATGCATAGAATCTATTTTAATATTAGTAATATACATAAGAATAAAATATATATATATGTAACATATATAGAAATATATATAAATGAAACCGATAGATTTATAGCAAAGTTATTTTAACCCTACACATATCAAATATATTTTAATATTAGCAATATATATAATATATATTACATATAGATATAAATAAAATTATAAATATTATAATTATAAATTATAATTATAATCATTACTTATAAAATTATTTATATTTATAAATAAAAATAAATAAAATAAATATTTATATATTTATATATTTTTATATATATATAACTATTAAAATGCACTTTAAGCCTGCAGAGAGGCAGTGTGTGCAGGGGTATTGGTGACTCACAGCACCCTGGGGGCCTCCTGTGCCTCGCTGGACAGCAGGGCCGTGGGCAGCTCCAGCAGCCAGAGCGTGTCCGTCTCCTCCAGGAGAACCTGCACCCTCTGCTCCAGCTCTGCCTCCGTCAGGACTGCCTCCCCCTCCTCCTGCACAGCTGCGGGCACAAACACCTCTGCTGCTCCAGAGTCACACAAAAACCATTCTGGAAACCAAACAGATCCCAGAATATGGGGTTTGAGATGCGAAGTGTCGAGTTGTTGGGTGAGTTCTTTACCAGACAAGCTCAAAGCTGGGTCTTGTTGAGGTTCTGTCTCATCTGAGGCAGGCTGGGTTGTTGATGTGCTGCTCCCCTGTGTCCTTCAGGGATGAGAAACAAGAAATTGTCTCAAAAAACTAAAAAAAGTGTTCATTTTCTGGAGGTGCTTTGTATTTTTAAGTCATTTTTAATGTATGTTTGCTCCTGGTTGGTTTCCCAAGCCCTGGGATTGTCCAGCCTGGGAAACACAGCAGAAAAAGCAACCTGCATCTCAGAAATCAGTGTTTGCAATTGCAATTATAAATTGGAAATAATTACAATCATCCCTTGCATTTTGATCCTGCTGTGGCTCAGGTTTTCCATTTAAAACACCAATAATTATTTCCCTTCTCTGCGTGACTTAATTGAGTTTGTCAGCCCAAAGTCTTTGACTCTGTTTTTTCCCTCTGTGCTGGACGTTTGTAAATGAAAGTGTAGTGAAACATAATTTAGGAGTTTTAACTCCAAACTTTTTGTTTAAGATCATTTTTGGAGATGGATGCACATAACCACACAGAGGTAACTTGCTTCAATATTATTCAAGCAGAGAATTTTTATTATGTTAAACATATTTTGATTGTTGAACTGGTACTTTTAATATTTTAATTTGATATTTTATAATTTTGCATAAGAGATTGCACTTACTAAATATCACTAAAACAGATAAAATACTTTAAAATACAAACTTTGCTTTCTTAAAAATAATGCTTTGTTTTTTTAAATAAAACTTTTCTTGCCTGGCAGCATTTGGGTCTGGCTGGAAGAGGGGAAGGGGTGTCACATTCTTCCCTTCCTCATCAAAAACCTGGAGAAAAATGGAAATAATCAGGATCATTTCCCTGTGTTCCCAGCCAAGAATAGGGAGGGCACCTGGAAGGGGTTTGCATTCCTGTTTTGCTGCCTTCCCACCTTTCCAACCCAGCCATTCCAGGCCCTCCCACCTTTCCCAACCCAACCATTCCAGGCCTTCCCACCTTTCCAACCCAACCATTCCAGGCCTTCCCACCTTTCCAACCCAACCATTCCAGGCCTTCCCACCTTTCCCAGCCATTCCAGGCCTTCCCACCTTTCCCAACCCAGCCATTCCAGGCCTTCCCACCTTTCCCAACCCAACCATCCCAGGGCTTTTTCCTACAGACAGATTTTGGGCTTTTCCCACTTTTCCCCAATGTGCCCAAGCCAACTGTTCCAGGGTTTCTGAGATCCTTCTTGCAAGTGGATTTGGGGCTCTTCCCACTTTTCCCAAATGTGCCAAATCCAACCATTCCAGGGTTTCCATGATTCTTCCCACAGGTGCATTTTGGGCTTTTCCCACTTTTATGAAGGGTGCCCAACCCAACCATTCCAGGGTTTCCATGATCCTTCCTGCAGGAAGATTTGGAGCTCTTCCCACTTTTCCCAAGGATGTCCAACCCAGCCATTGGTTCTTCCCACAGGTGGATTTGGGGCTCTTCCTACTTTTCCCAACTCGACCATTCCAGGGCTCTCTGGTTCTTCCTACAGACTGATTTTGGGCTTTTCCCAACCTGACCACTCCAGGGTTTCTGAGATCCTTCCCACAGGTGGATTTGGGGCTCTTCCTACTTTTCCCAACTTGACCATTCCAGGGCTCTCTGGTTCTTCCTACAGACTGATTTTGGGCTTTTCCCAACCTGACCACTCCAGGGTTTCTGAGATCCTTCCCACAGGTGGATTTGGGGTTCTTCCCACTTTTCCCTGAAGCACCCAACCCAACCATTCCAGGCTTTCCACAGGTGGATTTTGGGCTCTTCCTACTTTTCCCAACTTGACCATTCCAGGGCTCTCTGGTTCTTCCTACAGACGGATTTTGGGCTTTTCCCACTTTTCCCAACATGATCACTTCAGGGTTTCTGAGATCCTTCCCACAGGTGAATTTGGGGCTCTTCCCACTTTTCCCAACCCGACCATTCCAAGGTCCATGGTTCTTCCTGCAGGTGGATTTGAGGCTCTTCCCACCTTTCCCAACCCAACCATTCCAGGGCTCCATGGTTCTTCCTACGGACAAATTTTGGGCTTTTCCCACCTTTCCCAGAAGCATCCAACCCAACCATTCCAGGCTTTCCACCGGTGGATTTGGGGCTCTTCCTACTTTTCCCAACTTGACCATTCCAGAGCTCCATGGTTCTTCCTACAGATGAATTTTGGGCTTTTCCCACTTTTCCCAACACGACCACTTCAGGGTTTCTGAGATACTTCCCACAGGTGCATTTTGGGCTCTTCCCACTTCTTCCAACCCAGCCATTCCAGGCCTTCCCATTTTACCCAACCCAACCATTCCAGGATCCATGGTTCTTCCTACAGACGGCTTTTGGGCTTTTCCCACTTTTCCCAGCCTTCCCAACCTGACCACTTCATGGTTTCTGAAATCCTTCCCACAGGTGAATTTGGGGGTCTTCCCACCTTTCCCAACCCAACCATTCCAGGGCTCCATGGTTCTTCCTACGGACGAATTTTGGGCTTTTCCCACCTTTCCCAGAAGCATCCAACCCAACCATTCCAGGCTTTCCACCAGTGGATTTGGGGCTCTTCCTACTTTTCCCAACTTGACCATTCCAGGGCTCTCTGGTTCTTCCTACGGACGGATTTTGGGTTCTTCCCACCTTTCCCAACCCAACCATTCCAGGATCCATGGTTCTTCCTGCAGACGGCTTTTGGGCTTTCCCCGCTTTCCCACCTTTCCCCCCCTGCCCCTCTCACCTGCAGCGCTCCCTGGCTGCCCACGCCGGCCCCGCTGCGGGGGCCTTTCCCCAGGGAGGCCGAGGAAGCCGTGGAAGTTCTGCGGGAGCTGGGGGCTCTGCTGCCTCCCGGCCAGGCCCTGCAACCCCCCAGTGCAGTGGTTAGAAATATAAATAGCAAATTACTGCCAGCTAGCATGGTATCAGTGCATTTATTTCTATAGATATTGCTATCTTTATAATACAGATATTCTATTTATATTTTATAAAGGACTTAAACCATTTATAAGCAAGGATTTTTACCATTTATTAAATATTATAATAGATGATATATTACCTAATTGCCTAAATATTATCTAATATTTTAAAGGATGTAAACCATTTATAATAAAGGATTTTTACAATTTCTTATTTAATTCAACTTATTTTTAATAATTACTTACATATTATTATATATTACTTCTTACTTATCTATTACTTCTTACTTATCTATTACTTAATTGCTTATTTATTACTTTTAATTACTTACAATTATAACAACTTATTTTTAATGATTTCTTATAATTACCAATTATTTTAAAGGACTGTAACAATTTTAACCATTTATAATAAAGGGCTCTTATAACTGATTATATATTACCAATTATTGCAAGGGATTTCAGCCTCTTACAAGAAAGGATTCTGCTATTTCTTTTGCCATTTATTACACATTACTAGTTATTTTAAAGGATTTAAACTGTTTATAAGAGAGGATTTTTACCATTTCTTGTCTATAATAACTTATTATTTCTTACCAATTATTTTAAAGGAATGTAACCATTTATAATAAAGACGCTTATAATTGATTATATATTACCAATTATTTTAAGGGATTTCAGCCTCTTACAACTTACTTACCTATTAATTACTTATATATTACTTTTAATTACTTACAATTATAACAACTTATTTTTAATGATTTCTTATAATTACCAATTATTTTAAAGGACTGTAACAATTTTAACCATTTATAATAAAGGGCTCTTATAATTGATTATATATTACCAATTATTGCAAGGGATTTCAGCCTCTTACAAGAAAGGATTCTGCTATTTCTTTTGCCATTTATTACACATTACTAGTTATTTTAAAGGATTTAAACTGTTTATAAAACAGGATTTTTACCATTTCTTGTCTATAATAACTTATTATTTCTTACCAATTATTTTAAAGGAATGTAACCATTTATAATAAAGACGCTTATAATTGATTATATATTACCAATTATTTTAAGGGATTTCAGCCTCTTACAAGAGAGGATTAGACCATTTATTTTATCATTTATTACACGTTTCCACATACTACAAAGGATTTCAACCATTTGTAAGAAAGGATTCTTATAGTTTATTATGTATTATAATTGATGATATATCACCAAATATTTTAAAGAATGTAAACTATTTATAAGAAAGTAAATTATATAAGAAATGGTATAAATCCTATTTATTACCAAATATTTTAAAGGATTTTAACCATTTAGAATAAAGGATTCTTAAAATTTATTGTATATTGCCAATTATTTTAAGGGATGTAAACCACTTCATAATCAATATAATAATGTAATAAATAAAGTATTTGTAACAATTTATCATAAACTATTATGTATTATGACATATTATGGAATGTAATTCATTACATGTGATGATTTATTATGTATTTCCAATGATTTCAAGGAATGTAAACCATTTAAAATACAAGATTGTGGGATTGCAGCCATTTGTTGATTATAATTTATTACATATTATAATTTATTATACATTCATAATTATTTCAAAGGATTTTAATCATTTAGAAGAAAGGAGTGCAGCCATTTATTATAATTTATTGTGCATAATAATTGATTACATATTACCAATTATTGTAAAGGATTTACACCATTTATAAATGGGGCTTTTGACGATTTATTTGTCATAACTTCTTAGGCCTTGTAATTTATCACAGAATGTAATTTATTAGACTAAAATTCATTACCTATTACCCATTAATTTAAATATGTAAGCCATTTACAATAAAGGATTTTTTAATTGATTTATTATAGAATATAATTTATATTATAGAATATAATTTATTACACATTATAATTCATTAAATGCTACCCTTTGTTTTAAGGGATGTAAACCATTTATAATGAAGAAAATTTGCCACTTATGGAATTTATTAAATATAATTTATTATTATAGTATATATTTATTATATATTGCAATTTATTATGTATTACTAAGTATTTTAAGGGATGTGATCCATTTATACTAAAGGAACTTTTCCCATTCATTAGTTACAATTAATGCTGTGTTATAACTGGTTCTGTACTGTAATTGATCATCTATTCCCTGGCATTTTTAGGTCTTTAAAGCTTTTTAATTCCAACAACGTCGCAGCTTTAGGCCCGACCCGCCCTCACTCACCGCGGAGGCCGCGGCCCCAGCATGGCGTCGCGCCGTTACCGTGGCAACGCCGCCCAAGACGCGGCGCGGCCATTGGCCGCCAGCAAGGGCGCCGCCGATTGGTGGCTGCGCGGCGCGCGGGCCGCGCTGTGCTGGCGGCCGCAGCCCCGGGCCCGCCATGCCCGACGGGCTCGCCGGGCGCTGCCCCGCGCCGGCCCGGGGACAGCGCTGAGCCGGGCAGGTGAGGCAGCGGGCGGGCGCACGGAGGACGCGCTGAGGGGCCGCCGGCGCCGGTCTTTGTTCGCTTTATTCGGGGTGGTGCGCGGTGTCGTGTGTAACACAGAGCTGTTATTGTATCGCCCCAGAGCCTCACGCCCGGCGAGAGCCCCCGTTCGCCTCACGGCCGATGAGACACCCCCCGCGCCTCTGCGGCTCCCCGCGTGAGTAGGGCGGCCGCGGGCGGGCCGGAGGGGGGAGCGCGGGGCGGTGCTGCGGGGCCGGGGCTCTGGGGGCCGTGAGGGGCCGCGGCGAGCGGAGCCCGGCACCGAGCACCGGCCGGGGCGGGGCCCGGGCGCTGAATGAGCGCGGAGGGGGCGTGGCCTGCGCCTGATTGCCAGGTGAGGGGGCGCGGCTTGTTCATTGAGTGACGCGTGAGGGGGCGTGGCTCGTGCCGAATGACATATATGGGCATGAGGGGGCCTCGGCGGGGTGGGGGCGTGGCCTTGCGGTTTGAGTGACAGGCGGGGCTAGTGGCGTCGTGACAGACGAGGGGGCGTGGCCTGCGCGCTGAGTGGCAGGCGGTGGAGAGCGGTGTGCGCTTTGATTGACGTGTAAGGGGGCGGCCTCAGCCTTTGAGTGACAGATGGAGCCTTGCCTATGCATTGAGTGACAGGCGAGGGCGTGGCCAACCCCCCAAGTGACAGGAAGGGGGCGTATCCTCCGCCCTGACTGACAGGTTGAGCAGCACTATATAACACGCGAGGGGGCGTGTCCTCCAATTGACTGACAGGCGCGGCGGGCGCGGCCTCCCCTGACTGACAGCCGCCGCGCGCGCCCTGCCCGCTTCCCGCGGTGCGCGGTGACGTCGTGCGTAACGTGGCCCCGCCCCGCCGCCGCTCCCGGTGCCGTCGCCGCCGCTCCCGCCGGGACCCGGCGGCGCCCCCGGCGATGTGACCCTGCCCCGGGAGCACCCGCGAGCATGGCTGAGGTGAGAGCGGCGGCGGCCGGCCCGGGAACTTGTTGCGCGGGGCCGCAAGTTTGTTGCGGGGAGCGGAGGCCCGGCGGCGCCGCCCGCTCCCCTCAGGGGCCGCTCGGGGCCGTCCCGGGGGCTGCGGGCCCCTGAGGGGAGCGGGCGGCGCCTCCCGGCTCCTACCGGACCGCGTATGCTGAAACGTCGCTTTATTTCCTTTAAATATCTTTTTTGCAATGGGTAAAACAAAGGGGAGTTGGTTAGGAGGCAGCCCGGGAGAGCTTTCTGGTGGAATTCCCGGGATTTGCGGGGCGCGGGGGGGTTGTTTGGGGATAATGGGACTTGTGTTGAGGGCTGTAATATGATAATGATAGGGAAATAATGGGGAAATGGGAAAAAAGCCTCTTTGTGGCGGGGTTGGATGTGCCCGTCCCGATAGGATCAGCTCTTTCCCTTTTAGGAGGGGAATGGGCACTGGGGAATGGATATTCCATGAAGTTTTCCTTGAATTGTCCCCAGATATCGAGGCTGTTTGCTGCTCCAAGTGTTGACAAATGTGTTGGAAATGAACATTTGAAAAGTGAAATTTGTGGGACAGGTGTTGCTTGCAGGGCAACCTGGAAGTGTCAAGATTAGATTTTACAGATGAAGCTTCTCCCCTTGAAATTCCTGAATATAGGGGGTTTTTCCCTTAAATTACTTTCCCTTTTCCTTCCAAACCAACCTTTAATGGAGCAGTCTTCCTGTTGTTGGGACAACGCGTCCTGAGCTAATCTTAGAAGTTCTGAGAACCTGCTTGGGTGGTTTTGTATCTCCAGAGGGAACCACAGGTCTGATCCCAAAAAATGTGGGTTTCAAACCCACTTCTACAAAGCTGGAGAGACAGCAGTGCCCTTGCTGTGGGTGCTGGGGATGTCTGGCTGGAGGTTTTGTCCATTTTCTCCTGAATTAGCCCCAGTGTCCCGTGGCAGCCCCACGTTGCAGGGCTGTGTGTGCCGTGGGGCTGAGCTGGGTCACATCCCACCTGCAGTCCCGGCAGTGCCAGCCCCTGCCAGGCAGGGAGATCCCTTTGGGATGCCCAAAGCTGGCACCTCTGGCTGCTCCTTGGGGATGTTGTTCCCGAGGCAGGTGTCACGCTCGGGGGTTTAATCCTGGCTTTTCTGGGGGTGAATTCCTCCTCCTGTTTGGGGTGAAGGGGCAGGGGCAGCGTTTGATCCCCCCTGGATGAGTTCAGGAGCCGCGGCACCTCCCGTTCATCCCCAGGCAACTGTTGCACCTGCATGAGAAACAGTAATCATGTCTAAAATTGATACTGGCCGTGCTGTAAGGCCCTGGATACAGTTTCCAGCTCGGTTTGTGTCCCTGCCCCCGGCACTGCTGGAACTGGATGCTCTTTAGGCTTCCTGCCGGCCCAAAGCTTCCCAGGATTTCAGGAATTTAGGGAATACACAGGGAACGGAGTGGGATTCTCCTCGGCATGGCATTTCCTGGTAGCTGTGATGTCAGCCACCTGCCTGGAGCAGCTGCAGCTCACCAGTGTGGATGGAAGGTGCAGGCTGTGCTGCCTGCCCCCTTTGCCGAGCTGTGTGCCGCTGGCACGCGTCGTGGGGTGTGCGGGGAGCTGGCGCTGCCATCCTGCAGCTGCACAGGATCACACAGGCACAGCCCCCCAGGCCCACGGGGGCTCTGCAGCCTCCTGCCTCGCACAGGAAGGCTCTTCAGAGAGCGGGGCTGGAGGCCAGAAAGTGAAACTAAATTCACCAGAAGTGCTGCTTCACTTTTGCAGAAGCGATTTATGCTCTTTAGGCTTCCTGCCGGCCCAAAGCTTCCCAGGATTTCAGGAATTTAGGGAATACACAGGGAACAGAGTGGGATTCTCCTCGGCATGGCATTTCCTGGTAGCTGTGGTGTCAGCCACCTGCCTGCAGCAGCTGCAGCTCACCAGGGTGTGGATGGAAGGTGCAGGCTGTGCTGCCTGCCCCCTTTGCCGAGCTGTGTGCCGCTGGCACGCGTCGTGGGGTGTGCGGGGAGCTGGCGCTGCCATCCTGCAGCTGCACAGGATCACACAGGCACAGCCCCCCAGGCCCACGGCGGCTCTGCAGCCTCCTGCCTCGCACAGGAAGGCTCTTCAGAGAGCGGGGCTGGAGGCCAGAAAGTGAAACTAAATTCACCAAAAGTGCTGCTTCACTTTTGCAGAAGCGATTTGAATACAGGGCAGACAAAGGGAAAAAAAAGATTTTGAATATATATTAAATGTGGGGTTAATAGCCTGTGCTAGGGATCTTTTCACTTTTACGTGATTCCTCATATTCCAGCATGTCAGAAGTTTGTTCCAGGCATAAATTGGAAAGGAAATATCTCTAACTTAAGATCAGCTGAAGCTTTGTGACTGTTACAGTATCCTGCATTAAGCTGCTTACGGGGTGGTTTTGGTGGAGGGAATGCTGATACACACAGATTTTCTCCAAAATAAGGATTTTAATGCCTCCTGAGAAGAAAAGGTTGGGGCTGAAAAGCTTGATTAGCAGCTGAAAGAGAATGGGTTTTGTTAATTCAGCCTTTATGGTGTTGGAGTGAAATGTAAGTGAGAGAATGAGATCTTCTGATCCCAAAACTGCAAGAGCTGGGGTCAGACTTTTGCGTTGAGCAGAGGCAGCTCAGTACCTGCTGTAATTTCCACAATTCCTGCTGTTCCTTCTGTTCCATGAAGGGATGCACCAGTCACGTTGCTACAGGATATCACTTGCCAGGATACTGAGCATGCAAAACTAAAGGAAAAAGATGAGGGTTTGGGTTTTTTTGTTGTTCTTCAGTGAGTTAGGAGGAGTCCCAGAGCTGCTGTGTGGGAAAGAGAGTGGGCATGTGTGATCAGAGGTGAGGTGGGAGCACTGGGGACTAAACATCCCTGATTTTGGTTGGCATAAATTGGAATTACCTGCAGGCTGGTTTAGTTCTGGGTTGAGGGGTCTGGCACATCCTGAAAGGGGAGATCCTGCTCCTCCTGTTTTCTTTGTGTCACGACCCTGAGCTTCCATGGGTTGATCCATCTCTGGCTGAGAACCTAAAGGTTCTCAGGGCAAGCAGGGAGAGATCCCACAGGAGCTGGGGCTGGAACAGGCAGCAGGAGCAGCCTGGGGACCAGCAGATCCCCAGGGGCCCTTGTGGCTCTGCACAGCTCCTGCCAGGAGGGGACAGCCGGGGTCGGGCTGTGCTCCAGGGAACAGGGACAGGAGAGAGGGAACGGCCCCAGGCCGGGCCAGGGGAGATTTAGATTGGATATTGGGAAAATTCTTCACAGAAAGGGTTCTCCAGCCCTGGCACAGCGAGATTTAGATTGGATATTTCGGAAAAATCCTTCACAGAAAGGGTTCTCCAGCCCTGGCACAGCTGCCCAGGAGTCCCCATCCCTGGAGGGATTCAAAACCCCTGTGGATGTGGCACTTGGGGACATGGGCAGTGGTGGCCTTGGCAGTGCTGGCAGTGGTTGGGATGGATGGTCTTGGAGATGTTTGCCAGCCTAAAGGATTCCCTGATTCCCTTCCTGTTTCTCCCAAACCTCCAGCAGGCAGCTGAGCAGCTCCTTGTGGCTCTCACCCAGAGCCTCTGAGGTTCCTCAATTTTCTGACTTGCTGAAATAAGAACTTAAACTTTTGCTTCCGCAGAGTGAATTTCTGAGGGGTTAAAAATCTGGGCTGGCATTTTATGGTGTTGGGAAAGTATGGGAAGAAGCAGGATCTGTCTTGGAGCAGGAGCTCTCCTGTGGTGTCAGTGGACAATTAAATGTCTCAACCTAATTCTTCCAGTGCACTTTAATGTTTTTAAATTTCTGAAAGTTTAGTTGTTTTCAACTAAAAAATCAGTTTATTAGCATGGTGTGCTTTAAGAAGTCATCTATAATTTCCTATTGTCTGGAAAAATTTCTATTTTCCTCAATGTTCTGCTTCTTTCAGCTGAACAATTTTAAGCTTTGGGAATGTCACTGA